GAGAGAAGCCATCCTTAGGATTTTACCTTTTAAAAAACCATGCACATTCAGGAAGTTCAATTGCCAAAAAATAATTTTGCTTTGCCAAAAAATAAATTATTATAAAATCTTATTTCCTGCCACTGTAACAAGTGTTTTTCTTTTCATTTATTTTCTGTACAAGGTCCTAAATTTATTTTCACTCATATCCTGATCGCTGCGAAAAGATTTGCTCTACAGACTGGTTTTAAATGCTCTTTCATCAATATCTAAGGTATATTTTATTTTGGTTGTCTAATAGTACTGGGTAGTTAACAGAACATGCTTTTTACCTTGGAAAGGCAGTTATCATTGTACATCCACCCATAAAGGTTTTTCCTTAGGATAATGGATGTTTTAATGATTCATCTTGTGGACCCTGCCCTTCCTTATTTGCACAAAATATTCTACACCCTGTAATAATTTCTGGGTCAGACTCAAGCCATACATGCAAATCTTTTTTGGACACAGAGACAAGAAAAGATTAAGTTAAAGGTTCGGTCTCCCCTAGGTCAACCAACCCCTCTTTGGTGTCTAGGTCATTTCAAGAGCTGCTAATAGGATGTTATTAGATCACTGGGTATTTTCAGGAATTAAGCCAGTAGTCAGCATGAGGCAGAATTTATTGTTGGCCCACAGAGGAAGGCCAGAGGAAAATAGTACTGCTGTTGTGCTGGAAAATTTCACTGTTTCTGTTTCTAGTGGAAAAAAAGTTATCACTAACACATCCTGACATGTAATTTGCCTCATTTATTATTGTCTAGCACTGACTTAGAAATGCACAATAAGCACTAAAGTAGGTACGGGGGATTGTAGTTCTTTAAGGAAACATTATATAACCAAGAACTTCTCCTCACACAAACTGAGATGTATCAAACTGAGCTAGATAAAATATAATTCAGATTTTTCCCTAAGCAGCACAGAGAATTACTAAATACAATAATTATCATGATAAATGTATAGACTTGTGTTCTGTTCCAGTTTCCATAACAGAGCATGCATAAAGGAAAAAATAACAGAGATTGAAATTTTTAACATATTGAGTAGATCTGCAAGCTTTGTAATGCAAGCCTTTATATATTTATTTTAAAAAGTTTCACTAAATTTATTAGAATTTATTCTCTGCAGAAGTAGGTTGGTATCACCACCTTAGCCAATTGGGGCAGTTAGTTTTAAACATGTAGTAGCATTAAAATCCATTTTGGTTCACTATGATCTTTGTTGAAGGTGGGCATTAGGGCAATTTTCTCAGCTGCACATGAAAAAGTCACATCAGTGTTTATAAGAAGATATTTGACACATTATTTTCCACCCTTGAGAGCCAGTTTGGTACAGTGCTTAAGGCATCAAACTAGGAAATGAGAGACCATGGGTTCTAGTCCTACCTTAGGCACGAAATCAGTTTGAGCCCATCACTTCTTTGTAGCCCTAGGTAGAAAGCAATGGCAAATCACTTCTGAAAATGCTGCTGAAAAAAATGTGGTCCAGTCAGTCACCAGCTATCACCAGCTGACCTGAAGGCACAAATATATATTTCCATCCTTCCATCCTTCTTTCCCTCCAAAATCCATTAATCTGAATTTTATAATCTTATCTAGAAGCAAAAAGTAACACCAATATTGATAGTAACGTCTTTATTATGAATTATGACCTATTATACTGTGTTTCTCCAAAAAGACGACCACCTTGAAAAGAAGCCCTATCACAGTTTTGAGTGTATACGATCAAATTAGCCCCACCCACAAAATTAGCCCTAATTAAGACCCCGCCCACCCCAGGGTGCAGGGGGTGGGGCGAGGCACACAGGTAAAAAATAAGTTAAGGTAGGGATGGGGGAGTGGAGTTGCCCTACTTACCAGGCCTCGCACACCCAGACACTTGTCTTGCCTTCTTCTGCGGCTGCTTGCTGCCACTCGCACGCTTCGCCCTGGCTTCCATTTTGCCTTCAAATGCCTGCCGGAAGGCATCTGCAGCTGATAACAGAGCTCTGGATCAATCATTATCAGCTTCCAGCAGGCATCTGAAGGCGAAACGGAGGCAGAGGCAATGCATGACAGCGGCGGCAAGCGGCTGCAGAAGAAGTGGGCCAGCAGCGGGCTCCTGCTGAGCGGGGCTGTCGATGCCACTGCCACGAGGTGAGTCAATAATTAGAACCCTCCAAAAAGAAGGCCTAGCCATTTTTTTCAGGGGTCAGAAGAAAATAAGACCCGGCCTTCTTTTTGGAGAAACATGATAGTTAATAGCTACTGCTATTATTAACCAGATTCTAAGAAATACACTTCTTAAAAATAAGATAAGTAAAACAGCCTTTGATCCTATTTTCTCCCTTTTCTGCATTTGTGGAAAGTATTGGCTGACTGATCTAGGGAAGCTATGTGAGAAAGATCAGTAATGTGCAATTCTCGTGCATCTGCTTTCTTTGGTTTATTTGTGTGGGTGTGAGGGAAAATGTGTGTGGGTATTTGTGTGTGTGAAAGAAGGAGAGAGAGGAGGAGAATTTAGACAACTCACATTTGTTTTATAGTGTTCACATAAATCTATTAACAGTTAAAATGTTTCTTCTCCTGCAACAGAGCCACTTCATCTGGATTTGGTACATTCCCATTGGACAAGTGCTTTATTACCTATCACATTTAACTTTCTAGTGGAGCTGGTTTCTGAATATTCTATATTGTCTATTTGTAAAAGTTTCAAGGGGCCTGGAGGCTAAAACATACAATGACTGGTTGCAGGGACTGTGTATGCCTCGTCTAATGAAGGACTAGGGATAGCAGTCTTCCAATATTTGAGAGGCTGTCACAAAGGAGGGGGTTAACCTATTCCCCAAAGCTCTTAAGGGCAACACATGAAGTAACAGATGGAAACATACCAGAGATCCAACCTAGAACTAAGGAGAAATTTCCTGACAGTGAAAACAATTAATCAGTGGAACAGCTTGCCTTCGGAAATTGTGGGTGTTTCAACACTGGAGGTTTTTAAGAAGAAACTGGGCAGCCATTCTTCTGCTTGGGCAGGGGGGTTTGACTAAATGACCTCCAAAGTTTCTTCCAACTCTGTATTCTGTACTCAATATAGTCTATCTTTTTAACCTCATTTGCCTAGGATTCAAAATTTAGTCAATCTGGGCAACAGAGGTCTGCAACTGAATGGAGCAAGGCACTCTATGCATGTAATATGTGGTTCTCCCTGTTATATTTAATTTAATTTTTTAGGTTTATTGTTTTTTTTAGGTTTTTCTCTGGTTTTTAATTATATGCCATCCATTGTCTATGATGGATTAGGTGGCCATACAAATGTACATTAGAAATAAACAAACACACCTCTTAGAAAATTGTAATGGAGCGGTTCAGGTCTTGGATAAGAAGTGGAAAGGTCCAGGAACAAGTGCACCTACCGCCATGGAAACCCACAGGGTGACTTAGGGCCAATCAAGCTTTCTCCAACGTATCCCACAGTGTTCTTGCAAATTAAAAAATCCCTTCCTAGGCTCTGTTCACTCATCAGTTTTGTAGAGAAACTCGCAAGCTTGCAAAATGCCCTGAACTGCACATTAATTATTCCTAAGAATACCAAGAAATCAAATCAATGCATTACTGAACAAATAAATTCAGACTTCTCACCTGAAGCACATATGACCAGGCTCAAATTATCCTATTTTGGACACATTATGTAAAGCCCTGGCTCTCTGGAGAAGGCTCCAGTGCTGGGAAGGGTGGAAGGAAATAAATGAGGACCGCCAGAACCAAAGAGGATGGACTCAGTTACAGTAGGAGACCTGAAAGACCAGTTTAGGGGACAGATCATCATGGAGAAAATCTCTCCCTATGTGGTTGTCGTGGTTCAGAGCGTCCTGCAAACACAGCCAACGTGGTCCTCCCCATACTTCTCACCAACAGTAAAAGAAAACAAGAAAATCGTACTAAGTCCCTAAGAAAGGTAACTAATGGAGCTATTGTAAATCAACAAGCAATCTCTCAGCAGATGCCTCTTTACTGCCCACGCCTTGTTGCTAAGGATGAGGGCGTGGTTTCCTTTGGAGGTTACGCCCGTTACTTTCTAAACATAGATCAGAGCAGAAATCAAGCGGGGCGCAGCCTCTTCCCCAATTCAACGCAAACTACATTTCCCAGAGTGCCTGCAACTTTTACCAACGAGCCACGAGGAGTCGCAAAGAAGGGAACCGGATAAAAAAAAAAATCAGGATCGCCTACGAGGAAGCCCGACGGAAGGGGAGGAATTGTGAGCTTAAGGAGAGGTGATCGGCCTGGCTCTGTAAAAAATACTTCCGCTTCCAACCTGCGTCCCGTTTCCGTCTGCGAAAAAGCACTTCGAAGGCAGGCGCGCACCTCGGAATCTGCAACAATATGCAGAATACCTTCGATTCTCTAACAGTATTCAGGACTCTCGTGCTTTATTTTTTTGGGGGGTTGATTCTTCCGCTTCTCCCCTGCAGCAATTCAATAGATGAGGCCAGGGGTTGTAAACGACGGTGAAGCCGATCTCTTTTGAAAGCACCAACTTCTGCTCAGAATATGTATATAGTGGCTGATTGAGGGGCGGGGGAGGGGGGGGAGAGACACCGGATGCGTCCTCCCGCAGATTGCAAAAGTTCGGCAAACAGGCAGATACAGCTTCTTGCAGATGCACGATAGCCCACCTGAGCGAAGGGCCTGGGTGGGTATGAACGTTTGCAAGAATTTCTAAGCGTCGGTCTAAAAAGAGCTTGGATAGGGCAGAGGTTTGCTCTCGCCAGAGAAGCGTGAGTGCCTCAAAAGCAAGATCTATTATTCCCTACGGCCTGTCCTGTAGAGCATTGTTTCTCAATCTCAGCAACTATGGACTTCAACTGTCAGAATTCCCCAGTCAGCATGGCCATTGCTAAGAATTCTGGGAACTGAAGTTGCATCTCAAAGTTGCCCAGGTTAGGAAACACTGCAAAGTGTGACTCGACTTTTATTATATCAATATATATATATATATTTTTATGGGGCTTATGTTTGTTTTTATATTAATGATGTACTATCTTAATTTATGGAGCTGCCCTACCACCTAGCAAAATAAGTTGTCCTTATTGGTAGTGACTGGGAGAATATATTAAGAACATGCAGACTGACTGATGAATAGCAAGCATACGTATTATAATGTATTAATTGTTTCTCATGAAAATAGGAGCACCTCCCCTGGAAGGTGGCAATGACTGATTAAAGCAAGTCTAGTGACATGATTTCACCCATCTACATATGATACAGAATACAATAAAGCTTATACAAATATAAGCTTATATAAATACAATACCATGATTCTCCATTGGTTTAAACTGGAAACAAATGAAAGAAAGTGTTGGGTGATTGGGGATGGGAGGTACTGTACAACACAGTTGAAGAGCCAAGACTTTCAAAACTTGTACATATTATGCCTAGCATATTGCTTGATCCCAGCAAATTATAATAAAATCATAATTAAACTCTGGGTTAGCCCACTGTGAACCATCATCTCATTGTTATGTTCAAAAGTACATCTAAAGTCTCTTTTCCTCTTCCCTTAGCCAGTTTGCTGTGGGATTGACTTTCAGTTAAGAAAAATTTGATAGACTATATATTTTCAATAAAGAAATAAGATCCATCATTTTTTTTTACAAAAATTACTAGGAAAAGACAGTATTGTAGCATTCTTCAATTTTCCAGATGAACTGCAGTTGCATTTTCCCAGGCCCCGTTGTCTTAAATTGTGGGAGTCTCCAAATGTTTAGAGAGTTCCAGGATAATGACGGTTTATTTTTACAATAAACGCTGTTAATGTTTATTAGGCATTAGAAATATGTTCCTGTAAAAGTGAACAATTCCCTGAAAAGAACTATTAAATGATGATATACGGTAACTGAGCGGATCAGTTCTCCTCCACATCCCCTCGGTGCACACAATATTTTAAGTCTGCCGCTCTGATTCTTGACGGGCAGCTCAAAAACAAGTCACGGGGGAATCCGAAACTTTAATCCCGCCTCGAAGTGCTCCAGCGCTGCATTCGGCTGGGGCGTGGAGAAAAGAAAAACGTATCCGTAGGTTGGTTGTGTGGACGCCTGAAAGTACGATGAGCGCCGAGTCGCTGACTTTGGATTGCATTATCCATCTCTTCTCGTACTTGGAAGTGCCGGATTTGCTCAGAGCAGCTCAAGTGAATAAGGTACACCCGCTCCCCAATGTAGACCCCGCAGCCTGGTGCGTACTTGGCTGATACACCGCGGTGGTCCAGGCACGCACAATATAGTACCAGTTTTCCCAACCTGCTGATATTATAGCTACCTAAATCCCCTCTTGGCTGTTGGGCACGAGATTTGCAATCCACGGGTCGGGTTGCTTAGTGTAGATCAGGCTAACTTCGACCCTTCCTTCGTATCATCCGTTCATTTGCGAACAAGAATGCTCTTGCCTTTTCAAGGCGGGGGGGGGGGACACATCCCAAACGGGCCTTAAAATTGTCGAAGGAAAATGAAAGGGAGTTCCGAATACAAATCTTCAACTAGTTTAATAGAGGGTTGGAGGACACCGCGATCACCGCAAGAGCCTTTGACTGCGCCGTCACGACACGCCCAACGCGTCGCTGCCGAAGAGAAGGAGAAGGGAGCCGGAAGTCTCGCCCTTTCTAGGGAACCCGGCTGACCGTGACGGCATATCCGATTTTGGTTGGTTTTACATGCTGGATCCCGTTTGGGTGCTTCAGCATTGGATGCTGCGTGAGAGGGCTCACTTTGGAAGCATGCTTCTCTATATTTTCTTATGTTGAGGGCTTCGGAGCTTTTTATAAGGCAGTAAAGCATTTGGCCCCACTTGACCTGATGCCAGGAATAGCTTTACCAGCTGAGTTGATGCCACTTGTAGGACTCTTTAAGGGTAAAATTCAACCAAACTTTCTTGTTTCTCCCTAAAGTAGCATCTTCTTGGGAATTAGGTGCATATTTAATAAAATAGGCTTGGATCCTTGAGTAAACACACTTATTGAGCTATCTTGCAGTTTCTCAATCACTGGTTGAGTTCCTAAATTTTTACTAAGCCATAGCTAATGGCTTTAGTTGCGTGACACACTAAAACATGAATTATTCAATCTCATTTGGGTTTATAGGACACACACAACCATAAACTAATCAGAGGGATTGGGTTGGCACAGTATGTTAGGCATGTTTGGGATTCAGTGTGTGGCATGAACCCAAGCATTGTGGTTGGTTTCAGCTATTGTACTTGGCATGTATACCGTGAATTGCAGTTCAGTCAGCATTAAACCTGAGCCATGTTGTTATGTTTTATTCTGTCATGGTTAAATCAAATCATAGTTGGTGCAAGCTGTGAATTCTATCTTTTGGTCCAGTGAATCTTAAGAAGCTGTTTCTGAAACCTGCCATTCCTTTCCTTCCCATTTTAGGCATGGAACGGAGCAGCAGAGACCACCTTTCTCTGGAGGTGAGAGCAACAAGAAATGATGGGAAAAGTCTGGATTTCACTGGAGAATAGATGTTAGTGGATACAGCTTGTTGGATGAAGATACACTTCTTCTTCCTAACAATTTATTCCTAGTTGTTAGGTGGAAGGGTGAATTGTTATTTTTGCCACATCCTGCTTGTGGGTTTCCTAGAGGTAGGATTACAAGATCTCAGCTGCAAAAGTTCAGACCAGCAAAAGGCCATCTTATACTTGCCTGCATTTTTGTAGCCCAGATCTGCAGGCTCAATAAGAAGTGCCCAGTATCAACAAAATGCTAGACTAGCTAGGCTTTCAGTCTGAGAAAACCTCTGTGCACTCTTAACAGTCAGTTAATAGCTGTACCTGGTAAATGCCATGGAAGTAGTATAATCATACCTTTTTGCTTACTAAGCCTTAAAAGTTCCCTTTTATAAGAAAGGCTAGCCAGGTGCTGCCACCTTCTGAAACTAGGCAAGCCTGATTGGTCTTTCACTGCCTGGGAACTCCGTGGTGATGTCTAGATAGGGAAGCTGAGCCAGTTGTATCAAGGACATAATTATATTTCATATAATACAAATACAGGATCACCATTTGAGGAGTCTCCATTTAACAGATACAGATGAAGCCAAAAAGAAAAAAGGCCTTCTTGGTCTTCTATTTAACAGCATTTCAGCATTTGATAAAGGCTATCTTGTTCAAATAAGTACTCATTTTATCAGAAATGTCAATTTCATTTTAGTTCCTGAATCAGCTTATATTTGCTATTTTTATTTCCTTAAATGTGTAATTAACATTTTATTGCTGTGCATCAAACTTATGATTTTAAAACTTCGGAAGAATATAAGAAGAAATATAAATATTTGTTTATTCCACTGACTGTTAAGAAATGTAGGTGATTGCTATATAATTAGTAACTATTGAGTTCATATTTTGTTGCGCTCTCAATATTTACAGTACTTTAATTTTCTTATTACTAATTGAGATTTGAAGTATTCAGAAATGACAATAAAATAAACCTTCCAACATTCTTTTTAATCTAATAAATGATATTTACAGAAGATAGTTGTTAACAAATTAGAATTGCTATATTTACTAAAGCAGATTTGGAGAAAGCAATTTAAATTTCACAGTAATAGTGCAATTGTTTATATTTATAGAAATATGTGTCTAAAAAGGTGGGCTTTCTGCAATATCTCTGTGATCCCAGGAATCCACTCTTGGAAAAAGTACTATCTTCATCGCTCAAATCTTGAATCTAAGATGACATCAGGACAGCCTTCTGTTGATTATACATGTAAAGCTATAAGAGGACACAATGGTATGAGAAATGTGGTAGATCACCAAAGTAATATTTTTAGAAGAAAAAATATATTGAAATCATTTCTAATTCTCAACTTGCATTATATTGTACTTATGTATATGATTTGTATTCAGAAAGTTAAGAACTTCCATTTCTGCAGTAATAGAAAAGCACAGGGTCCTATAAAACTCTATGTGTGCATTTTTAGAAAACAAGGTCATAGTCTGAGAAATTGCACCTGATATATGTACCATAGTTACCAAATATTTTCCCAATCAGTAGCTTGCCAATCCTAGGTTTTGGGCCTCCATGGAATTTTAAATCAGTTTTCTGGAAAATTGTGAATCCATATCCATCTATCCGTCCATCCATCCTCTTACATTCATACAAGTGTAGAAACCTATATAGCTTCTCGAGATGGGTCTAATTCAGCTCCTCCATTACTGTCATGGTCTCTAAATGCAAACATTTGTTGACTCAAAAAGCCTAATGAAATCATCTACCAAAATGCGTTCTAACCTGGCTGGAATGACCTAGCAGGGCTTGGAATCAATTTTCTATTTAGGAAATTGAGTGAGGGAAGAAAAATCAATTGCATTTGTGGATGCAATTCCACCATTGCAATTGCACCATTGCAGACCATTCCAACGAATAAATTGCAAACGTTCTCTACGTTTGTGATCCAAAATTTTCTACTCATTTGTGATCCAAACTTTTGGAGCTGATCCAACTGCTAATACTTATAGTTGATTGTAAATTTACAGTGTATTATGCAAAGTAAAAATACCATGGGATTGATAGTTTAGCTTTCATAAGGAAACTTTGTTCTTCTGCAACCATTGAACTAGATAATCAAGCCCCCAAATACTTTGCTTTTAAACAAAGATCTGTTGTGTTGCCGCAGGAGTGATACATGAAATGGCTTATCTATCAGAAAACGAGCATATGTTTGCAACAGGAAAAGTAAATTCCACTATATGTACTGTATCTTCTGATGGCACAGTCAGGGCATGGAATGTCCAAGAGGTAAGAAAAAGGAGCATATGGAGTAAATAACTTCAAAGACTTGCAGAGAAGAGCCATAAAGATGTTTTGTCTTTTTCTTTGTCTGCGTCTGATTGTGTTTGATTATCTCTATTGTATTGTTTTTATTCAGTATTGTTTTTGTGTATTGTGAGCTGACAAAGTCATTTGAAGTCAGGAGGTATCAAATTGAATAAATATATAAAGACTTTAAAAAATGCTGTACATAAAATTTTTAAAAAACATCGATACATATTATTGAGCTTTTTGTTCAATAACCTCCTGTCTGAAACCTCCTTTTCCAGAAGAGCTCTGCATCCTCACACACTTCCTGTTTTGGGGTAGTGGCTCGATAATTTCCTGTTGCTACCACCTATCTTTCAGGGGTGGCTCATCTGGTGTCTATCCCTGACCCCTAATGTGCTTCCTTTCTGATGATTGAAAGGTCAAAAAGCAAATATAGAAATAATTTTTATAGTTCCATCTCCTGGCCCGTAATCTACAGTAATGTGAATAGAGAATTTAGCCCATTTTCCCCACCCCTGCTTTAGAAGCAAACCAGCTTCTAAAGATAAACAAAAGAAAAGATAGAAGAAAAGAAAATATAAGACACTTTATTCAGTTTTATATAGTAAGATGCAAATGATCAGTGCTATGAAAGAAAAGGTAAAGCTACATCAATCATAGTCAACAATCATAAATCCTAAAAGAAAAAAATATTGGCCTGGGTAGATCAGAAGATGGTTCTTGTAGAAATGAATGCTCTTGGGCAAATTTCAGAGATCTCAGAAGAGATGGTATTTACAATTGTTTTATAGCTTATAAGAATATTCTAGAACAAAAGGAAACATTTTGGGATGTATCTGTAGTATGCATACATATTGTTCAGTTTCTTAACTTCTATAGACAAAAAGAACCATATGATCACCATCCTCAATGTTCTCTCAGCTAGCTTCTGACAAGCAAAGTCAATGGGGGAATCCAGATTCACTTAATGACTGCAGATTTATTTAACAACTGTGGTTTGCTTAGTGACCATGACAAAAAAATGATTGTAAAATCAAACGTGACTTACCTAACAACTGTATCACTTACCGATGAAAGTTAGAGTTCCAATTACGTTCATAAAGCAAGAACTACCTATAAATCTTTTCTTTTACTTCAGTTGGCAGGAAGTTACTGTGAATAAAGGTTGTTACTATTGTTCATGAAACAGAATTCTACAGTGAGTAGTCATCAATGCACTTAAACAATATACATGATTAAATGTTTGATTGCCAAAGGAACACCCCCCCCCCCCCAATTGAATTTCACCACTGAATATAGATTTGTTTATGGGGATAATGGTAAAATGAGCATTGTGCATTGCTGGATGAAAAATCTAAAGATAGTGAATCAGGGAAAATTGAATTTTGTTATCAAGAACAAGGCAAATGATCTGTGGCAACTGATGAGTTTTGGGTAAGAAAGGCTGATAGCAGTAGTTGATGAACAATCAACAGATAAAAGAGAAATTTATGTCAAGCTTTTCATAGGTCATATTATTGCTGCTCTTCCACATTGCAAGATTTGTGCAAGATGCATCCTTTGTATGCTGATGGAAGAGATGAAAATGTCAAGAGTTGAACTTTGCCAGCAATGTTGTCATGCTATGAGAATAAAGATGACTTTCTTTAGAGCATTGTGACAGTTGATGACACTCAGGATCATTATTGTGTCCTAGAAATGACACACCCATTCAGGGAATATCATCACTAAATTTCACTTGCTTAAAAAAAAAAAAAATCAAAACTCTGGCTTTGGCAAGAAAACTCATGGTTACAATTTTTGGGAACTTGGATAGTGTTATTCACAGAGTTTTCCTGGAACCTGACACTGTACTATTCAGTGCTACACTGTAACATTCAAAACTTTGAACCAATTAAGCAGAGTCCAGAAGCATTAAATAAATTTTGTTGGAATATTAAAGCTGACTCCTCATCAGCTATCCAAAATGCAACTGCAAGGTTGGACCTCACTGTCTTATGCCATACATCATACAGTTCAGACCTGGCACCACATGACTTCCATTTTTTCCCTAAATTGAAAATTTACTCTCAAGGGAATTGTTTGAACCAAATGAAGAGGAAGAAAAGACTCACAAGATTCGGGTGAAAGGATAAGTTCTGTGAAGTTCTTTCATAATAGCGTTAAGATGCAAGTAAGAGAAAGCTGACTCACTCTGTTCAACACATTCAAGAAACAGCATTAAATAACATTCCAATAAAGTTCTCAAAGTGGAATGTTATTTTGAAGATGTAATGTGAGCTATATAAACAATCTGCTGTTTCTTGAAGAATGCAGTACATGAAAAATAGCTGATACAGACAACAAAAAAAATCACATGATTGGAAATAACGTATTATAAATCTGGATATTTAGACACTTCCCCCCCCCCCAAGTCTGTTTTCACAACAATGCTATTTTTAAATTATGAGATTGAATGGTTTTGGGGGGCATAGATATCACAACTGTGTTCTAAAGGAAGTTGTTATTTTATGTGAAATGAACTAAATTCTTTTAGGAATTTTTGGCCACAGCTTGGGGCTTTGAAATACAATGGAAAAGTCTGACTCATTATCATGATATAATAGAGAAATAAATAAAGTGAACAAGTTTCAACAAGATAAAAGCAACGTGATTTGGGGTTGAGATTTTTTTCCCCCTAACACCAATAAAAACATAGTTTTTTTCACCAAACAAGTTTATCAGAACACAAAATAGATACCTTTTCATGGAAAAGTATTTCAGATTGAAAAGAATGCATGGTACACTAACTTTAATTGCACTAACAGGAAGATGAGTATTTAAAAAAAAATACATATCAAATATAATGAATTTTCATTTTTCTTTTTTTGCTTTTATCAGGGTAAACAGATTTGGTCTAGTCCCCAACAGGAATTTCCACTAGTGAATATTATCACATTTCCTGCATTTAACCTGGCAGCTACAGCAGACACTCAAGGGACAATCAAACTCTGGCATGGGACTACAGGGGAAGAACTTTCAACTTTTTCAGTGTCATCCACATCATGCTGTATGGTAGCCTACACAATAAAGAATAACCCATTCTTGATGGTAAATAGCACACTAAATGAGTTGATTGCCATCCTCAAGGAAGCTTTCTTCTGATTGCCAGATACTTACAAAATAGGACATTTTAAAGTAGCCTGTTTACCTGTGGCAGCTGTGTCAGTCTGAAATCAGTACCATCCCTTGGTATGCCCAGAACGCTTTGGGGCATCCATGGAGTTTGGGAAGTTGAGCCTTTTTCTTACTTCACAGTTTAGCAGCATTTCCTCTTGAAGCATGGGGGGTTTCTCATTGTTTGGAACTCCCACATCTCCCTTCTTAAAATCTGTGGTTTTCCCCTCTCCCTAAATGGCAAAAGCGATCCTGTGTTTTCCATAGTTGTTTGGAGGAATAGGATTGTGTCTTTCTCAATGCAGGAAGTTTTGAAGATGCTGGATTCCACTTGATGTGGAAAGAAACTTTAGCAAGGAAGTTCAAATGTTACTCTGTTGGTCAGCTATGAGAAATACATTATTTGTAGTTCAGTGGTTCAAGGCTTTTATAGTTGATGGAATTAGATTATGGTCCAATTATCTTAGCAATTATTGTAGATACTGACTTGCCAGAAATTGGCTGTAGTAAAGCAGCTTTTGCTTATCCCCATTTTGTTATTTTGAATTTTTATGAAGTCATTAGCATCTCTGAAGTTCATGGCACTGTATTTTACATGCTTTTCCCCTTTCTTTGATTTAGGTGGGCACTGAAGAAGGCTCACTTTATACCTTGGCAGCAACTGATCTAAGCCAAATTTTATACAAAAAAGTGTTTAAGAACTGTGGTATACAGTTGTCTTTGTGTTCACCAGATGGGCAATGGATACTCGTTTGTCCTAGTGATACTGCTTTTTCACCAAAGGTATGGTTTCTATTATCATTAAATGTGTCTGTTGAGACCTTGTCGCATTGCAGCAAAGCAGGACAAAAGCATTCATAATTATTTCAAAAGGCTAGTCAAAAAGCAAGAGTGTTAAGAATCGCAAGGAAATAGAATTCAAGTGGTCAGAAAGGAAAATGTCTTAACAGTTAAGAGATTCAACTCGAGGGGTGGGAGCAGGCATTTCTTCACAGGAGGTGTGTATACAAAAGATAGATGCCCATTTTTCAGGGTTACTACATAATTGATTTCTGCATTGGTTTGGGGTTGGTGACTTACAAAGTCATTTGCAACTGTTACATTCTTTGATTCTATGATCTTTCAGACATGAAGCAGTCTTAGTGGATTTTGGAACGGCCGTAATATTTAAATTCTATGTTTCCTTCACATTATCAACATTCTGAATCTGATTGCTACTGCTTCTACCCAGTTGTTCTTTCTGGAAAAACATTTGTGAAATTCAGTCACAAAATTAATCTCAGCTAATAGGGACTGAGGACAGTTACAGTGGCAACATTATAGTTTTACTGTCTTGTGCTACATTGTGTGTCATCCTGAGAGTTTTGGCTCTGACTTATTAAGTGAGTAAATAAAATAAGCATTTGTATTTCCTCTATTTTTATTCTTTGTCTTTCTTTAACAAATTGCTAAAGAAAACTAAGGATAATTATGTTTGGATTTTTCTAATGAATTTGTAATCTGCCTATAGCAGATCTTGAATGTCAAAAGTTTTTCACCTGTAGATAGTAGCCTAGGCTCATAGAACTGTACTTCTAAGTTTATTGGTAAGATTTGCATTTTGGAATAAGTTTCAAAAGTCATGTATGATGCAGAATGGAGTTTTGCAATTCAAATAATTCAAATTCAGATAATAGAAGCCGTGGATTACATGGAGATCAAAGGCTCAACTCCAGTATTTTAGAGACGTTTAGAAAGGATTTATTGGAAAGTTGCTGCCAAGCAATATAAACCAGACATTCCAGGTGCTTTCCCAAGCTTTTTTTAAAAAAAATTTGATTCAGGGCGGCTTACAGTGCGTTAAGCAATAGCCTTCGTACTTTTGAACCATAATTCCCATTGCCCATGCTGGCTAGAGCTGAATGGAGATATACCAATTCTTTTATCTCATGGATAGACAGCACAGAGATAAATTAGTTGGGTTAGAAAGTTTAATATATTGACATACATTTTTCATACAAGTTCAAAAGTTACACTGATATTTCTAAAAAGTATCAATTCTTTGGATCCCAACTTATTGGTATTATTTTCTTTTTCCGTATCAGGTATTTAACACATATTATGCAACTCAGCCAGAAGATGATGATGTGATGCTATCTAGTCCTTTACCTATTACAAATCATTGTCAGGTGATGAGCTGGTTACCAGCTGAATCAGCAAGAATTGCCATTTTGCACAAAAATGAGATGTTTCACATTGATAGCTTTGATATAGTAATTGAGAAGTCTAAATACAAAAAGAATGTTACAGGTAGGCTTCATCAAATTGTTGTGTAATTTTAGATGTGCCATTGGATATTTAAAATGTGCTGGACCATAATGGAAAAAAAATATAACATTTATTGTCAGGCAGTAACATTATTAAGACTAAATATATCCAAATAGTAGCTTTTTACTATTTTTGATAACAGTATATAAAATATATCCTTTTCAATACATATTTGCTTGACCACTACACATATATTGCTCAATCAATAATTTTACATTATTATCTTTAACTTCTATTTGATAATAATCTGGGAAATATTATGAAATGGCAATCATTCTCTTAAATCATTTATGCCAAACATTCAGGTGACATTCCTAATCCCTGAATAATTCTCTTTGGGAAAAATCCTTTCTGATAGCTTTTAGAAGAATAATACTTTCTTAGATTGCATAATCTTCTAAAATGACTTACTCTATTTGATGTTCTGTAGCAAATCTAGCGTTTAATTCCTTTTGGGTATTCATTCTTTGTTATTTAAAATACTCATACCCTGCTTTGCTACCACAAAGTCTCCTGGAATGTATACAAAAAAATAAATAGTTGGTAATCTAGAACATGTAATAGTTGGAGAAAAAGGTAAACAAACTACAGCTGATTTTGGCAGGTTGAATTGCCTAGATCAGTGTTTCCCAAACTTGGCTATTTTAAGATGCATGGACTTCAACTCCCAGAATTCCCCAGCCAGTATGCCTGGTTGAGGAATTCTGGGAGTTGAAGTCCATACATCTTCAAAGGGTCAAGTTTGGGAAACACTGGCCTAGATGATTGGTAATATACAGATTCTAAATCAATAGTTGGTAATCTAGAACACATGACAGTTGGAATGAAGAAAAAGGTAAAAGAACTATGGCAGATAATTAGTTGAATTACCTAGATTCAACTGATGGTTGGTAATATACAGATTGTGATGCTTTGCAATTTGTTGTAAGCTGCCCAGAGTTACCTTGCAGTGAGATGGGCAGCAAACAAATGTATTAAATAAAATAAATAAAATTTATTTATTTTTTACCAGACAGACTCTCTTGTCTTGGTTAAGCCTTTTCTTTTTCTTTTATTTCTTTCAGTTAAGATAAGCTTAGATTTGCTTACTAATGGTTGTCTAAATGCCTATGATACAGACCGAGCTGGTAGTATGGACTGTCCATGCAGCCCTATGCCCCAAGTGTAGAGGCTCTGGTGATGGTAGCCTTTAAGATGTCTCTGGAGGAATGGGGAAGTCCCATTGTTCATGCTACACCAGAAGACTGGGTGACTTTGGGCCCGTCCCTCTCAGAGCCCAATTCATTTCACAGAGTTTTTGTCATGGGAAAAAGAGTACTATTGGATAAGTTCACTGCCTTGAGTTATTTATAAAAATAATAAAAGGCAGGATATAAATAAAATTAGTAATAAAATAATGCTATCATATGAAACTATCTTCCCACCTTTGATAACCTTTGGCAGTATTAGGATTGCAATTCTCAGAACTCCTAATCAATGTTGACAAAGAACTATTGGGTAAAATAGAATACAATTTTCAATCGTTTATGTGACACAAGAATGAGTGTTATGTTGTTTTTATGCAAAAGCTAAACAGGTTGCAAGCTTCACACTACCAGCCCAAGAGCAGATGACAAGTATGAAAGGATTTGGCAAACAAACCCTTCTTATAGCAACTGGACCAGAACTGACAGTATACTCTCTGAGCGGGACTGTATTGATGGCTTTCAAGGATCATCATAAAATTATTACATCTATTTGGGTGGTATGGTGACTCTTATTTACAGACATTTTAGTCTATTATTTTGCAAAAAACCCAACAACCTCCAAGTAGTTGTTACTTTCTGTTCTGCATAGGTATTTGGCGTATTTAACTAAACAACTTGTTTTCGCCATTCCATCCTACTCCAGGATCCTTTTCATGTCGTGACATCTTCCATGGACCTTTCACTCCGTGTATACTTCTGGAAAAATTACAAATCCTCTTTGTTGACAAGCTGCTATCATTTACTGGGAGGATCTCACAGATGGTCAAGGTAAGTCTCATCTTTTAAAAAATGTTTTATGGTTTGTTGGCATTTTAATGGCCTAGTCACACAATGTTAACATTTAATTTAGTAATTTTCAAATGTGATTATAGTATTGAGCACCCACTGGCAATTTATCTTGTTCAGGACTCCCGGATAACTAGTTGACAGTTTCTCTTGCCTGAACATGTCTACTTAAGATGTAGCAGAGAAGTCTTTTGTGTATTCTGCACAGAGAAATTCCTCCATCCCTTCCCAAGTTGTTGCATGCAGGTTGAAAGTTTCCTTTTCTTATTCAGCTTTAAACCTCACCTGACCCTTTCAGGCTGATTATTTAGAGAATATTTTAACCTGATTTGCTGATAATTGTGGTGTTCTCTTTAAAAGGCGGATTAAAAATGTTTAATTTCTTATTGTGTATCTCCAACAGGGTATAGAACTGCTTTTCTTTTCTTTATAGTGATATCTATTCACCAATTTATCCAAGTACTAACAAGAATAGCCTTGATATGTCAAGTAATCTCTGTATATTTTAAAATTCTTTAACAGAATTTTTTCTTTTATAATCACAAGAATTTGTATCTGGAGATTACAATGAAATATATTATTCAAAGATAAACTTTCCAACTGCAAATTACAGAATCAACCGTAGTGTGTCATGTAGTGAGCCAACTGATATAGGCTTTGGTGTATATCTCGGCCTGCAATGAAATATTCTATTCCATGTAAAACCTGGCTCCATACTTCGATTTCTTGTACTTTACATATTGAATTGTTTCAATGTGACTTGTTATTTAATCAAGTACTAACACAAAAATTTCATTCACATAGTGGCTTCACATCTGTGGCATGCGATGATGTCAGCATTGTTGGAATAGTGGCTGGAATTGATGGCAAAGACATTTTAAGAGCATATTCCTTTCATCTGTAAGAGTTCCATGCACTTCTGTTTCATTCTAAACGTTTTCCACAGTTGTCCAACTCAAATGAAAAGCATAATTGAAACCACTGCAACTAATTGACTGAAGTGATCGATTACCTTTTCAATAACCAATTTAACTAAATTCCACTTGGCTTGAAAAAGGCCCACAATAGCTTTGTTTAGCTTTATTAAATGTATCTTATAGCTTATTATGTGCATGTATATAATTTTAGATTCTGTATTTATATATGCTTGTTTTGCTTTTTCTATTTTTCCATTTATAAAGGCTACTCTAAAAATTATATCTGAATGTACAATATAAATTATACTCTTCAAATTATACTCTGTGCATTGTGGAAAAAAAACGTTCATAGGCTAAATATGGTCATTGTAAATAAGCAGGTAACTTGTTCACTGCGTGAAAAATGTGTATTTCAAAATTAATTTGACAGGGATCACCAAAGGTTATGAACTAGATCAGGGATGTCAAACTGGATTTCTTCAAAGGCCGGATCAGCTTTGTAGTTCTCCGTGGGCCGGCCGGAGGAGGGAGGGGAGATGGGAACGACCAGATCAGTCCTTCGTGATCCAGGCAGACGCCAGCGACGTGGCCATTGCAGTGGTCCTCCTTCAGAAAGATGCCAGAGGTATTTTACATCTCTGCGCGTACACCTCGAGGAAACTGACGGAGACCTATCAAAGATGGGCAGTGTGGGAGAAAGAACCTTATGCGATCCGATGGGCCCTACTAACCTGGAGACACAGAGCACCGTTTTCGGCCTGGATGGCTTCCTGCAGCACTCTGCTGGGCAAAACAGGGCACAGGGAGCTGCATGTGGCCTCCCACTACCACGTTGCCAGAGGCACCATGGGCCGGTCCTTTGCTATTTCTAGGCTGGCCCCGGGAGCCAGATTTAAGCACCCTGCAAGCCAGATCAAGCCCGCAGTCCTTGAGTTTGAAACCACTGCCCTAGTGGTATTTTCAATTGCTTTCTGAAATTTGCTTGGTTCTTGTTCCTTGAGTTTATCAGCTATGTGAGCTTGAAAAAGGGTGTTTTCCTGTATTTCTGTTCTCTTGTTTTCTGTTTGCATATTTATATTCTGCACTGGGAATCATGAGTCAGACTGACCCAGAAGAGGAAGACTTAGAATGGAGCAGTTGACAACATTTCAAGATATCTGTCCAATTGTCCTTCCCAGATGAATAAATTAGGAGAAACAAAAATTTGGGATTCTTTTTCTCCCAGGATAGGAGAATCTGATTCTTCTCTAACACCTATTATAGTCCTGTTCTGTACAATTTTAGGAAAGTTACTTTGCTGATATGTAGGTCAAATCTCAATCTTCTTTACATAGAACATAGTTGCTTAGGCATACCAACAATTAATCTATTCTAAAACATACAGAGACTTTATTGAAATATAAAGACATATTTAGATGATAAAATCAGAAAATATTAGAAGGGAACATAAGAAACACAATCTCTCGCAGAACTGAATTTCTATTTTATTATGAAAATACATACAAGAGCAGTACTAGACTTAAAATGAGTTTGAAATCACAACACTTCTCCCCAGTATGCAGGTACTTTTTTTTTTTGTTCTTGTTCTTACATTCTTCTGGCAAAGGGGAAAGAATGTTTCATCAAGGTAGTTTAAGGAACTTCTGCATTATTTGGTTTATTTGATTCAAGGGACAAAAATGTAATGGTAAATCTTGCAAATTTATAGAATAATTTAGATTAAGAATATGGAATTCGACCAACTATGATCCTGTTGTGATATTAAAGCCCTAAGAAAGGCAGCAGGTTGTATAGTTAACTCCTTATAGGCAAAACCACTGCCCTAAAACTATGCAACCTACTACCTCTTCCTAGGAACCCCACCATTTCTTCATTCTTCTAAAAAAAAAAAGTCATTGTGAAAAGTTATGCACATCTTTAAAGATTATGCAGTATAAAACATATGCAGGTTTATTACCATTGTTCATTTGTGGTAAACAGGAAACATCCTTAAGTGTTAAATATTTTGACATCCTATCAAATGATTAGTATACACATAAGTATATCCCCAGTCCATCTGAAACAAAAGAATGGTTACTTTCTTAAAGTACAGTTTAGTTTCACAAGAATGTATTTTTGAAATATTCATTCAGTAAGAACATGAGTAATACACAAACATAATTTATTCCATCCTCAACAAGTATCTCTCTCAGTAGATAAAAGCAAAATGATTCTTACAACCTCATGAACAGTTTGCCGGTAAAAACAAAAATTGTAATTTATTTTAAACCAAACTGCAAATAATCCATTACGAATACTGTAGAATTTTTACTCCTCAGGGAAGGCAATAGATTGTATAGTTATCTCCCGAAGAGGGCAAAATAACTACCCTACAACTATACAATCTACTACCTCAACCTGATAAGAGAAATGTATTTAGAAAGTAAATTTGTTCAGAGAATATTCCTTTGAATTTGATTCTAAAAATGTAGCAGGAAACTTTTGGGTTCACATGTCCCCCCTTCAAGGCCTTTTGAATTATGGAAAACAGGTACTAGGAATAGGGAAATACTGCCAAAACTGGTCAAAAGTAACTTGAACACAAAAGATTTACTTTTTTGAATTACCTTTGCGTGAGTTATTTCCCTCTCAAGTCTCCCATACCATTAGCCAACTTTAAATGCTATTAAATATGGCACCAGTGCAAGTTCCCTGTTGGTTGGTTGCTTGCTTGTTTACTTTCTTGCTTCCTTGAAATAATATTCAATTATGAACATTATCTACCACTGCAAGTAGTTTCAGAATAAAATCAGACTAATGTTGCTGATGATTATCTGCTTCCTTAGGAAAGACAGTAGACTGTATAGTTATCTCCCAGTGGTGGGTATGACCCTAAAACTATACAACCTACTACCTCATCCCACAGAGCAGTATCTTCATTTAATAGATGGCAATGTCTTTTTAAAAAGGATGCTAAAACAAACATCTCTCCGGTTTAATTATCTGCGGTATTTCAAAGCCGTTCTTTCTAGTTCAATATCCAAATGGTTCACTCTGGGGAACTTCTTTGGATGAAGAAATTAAGTTGAGTTCAAATACTGATGCAAGGCAACTATTATATAGCGTTCCTCATTCTATTCCACTTTCAAACCTAAAAGGAGGAAGGAAAGTTAATGAAAACCATCCTAAATAAATAAAAGCATGCAACTGCAATTTCAGCAATAAGAAATGCCAGATGTTATAACAATACATTAATGGGACAGGAAACCAATACTATTCTTTATATTGAAATAAAACACAGGTTGTAAATAAAGAATGTTTTGTGCATTTGTTATATGAAAATTGCTCTGGTAGATACTAATATTCAAGTTTTGGAAATTTTGAATGAACTATAGAGACTTTTTTCTCTTATCTCAAACAGATAATTGATGCAAAACTAAGAAATAGACAGGGACAAGTTGGGTGAAAATGAATAACATGACAGTAAATAAAGGGGTCATGCAGAAATTTGAATCCCAAATATGTCCACTGAAAATATCATAAACTATGAGATATCCATAGTTTAAAACCATAGGGCCCCATAATAAATCTAAACTTTGTTTACTATATTTGAGTGGGATAATCAAAACAGTTGAATAATGCTTATACTCCTTTGAGTAGGTATCAGAATCCATGTGACAAGTTGCCCTTGCAATATTCTGGTAAATTTACCTAAATGTTTAATAAATTTACTATGTTAAAGGTATGGCTTGTGTTTTAGTACATTGGGAATAAATTGAACATATTACATTTGCTTTGTAATACATTTGCTTTGTCTATGATGCATATAATTTTTAAAAATACACATAATTATTTTTCAAATGTAACAGTCCTGAAAAGCTTATAAAATATTTGATCTAAGGTAGTTGCAATCAATTGCTTCTTCTAAGAACAAATATAAAACTGAAGAGGAGAGAATGACAGTTTATTCCTACAAAATAACTTTATTTGTATTCAATACTTTGATTTAATAAATTTATAGATCAGATTTCATGTCATTATTTGAATTAATCCATCCAGTTACTTGAAATTCATAAATTTCAATGAAGCACTAACCCATCACTCTGCTCGCTTCACTTTCAAGACAAAATGTCAATTTCCCCACCAACACCTGCACATATTCATAAACACTTGAGGTTTATTGGCAGCAGCAATCACTCAGTATTTGTAGCAAACAATCAAAAGCCATCCACCATTTGGTTATTTCGAAAGTGCTTTAATCTTTTATAGGTCTAGGAAAAGATCAAACACACTGAAAGCAGCACCCATATTTGACAGTTGCCTGAACTAAGCTTCACATATATACTAATTTACTCTAATTAAAATGAAACCAAATCCCTTTCAAACTGCTTTGTTTAGTGAATCCTTACTCAGAAATGCGTATTTTAAAATTTAAAGGTCCAAAAGTGCTTTGAAAATTGCTATGTAAACTGGATGATTTTATATTCCATGAATCTCAGACTAACATTAACATATTCCCCACATATTCAAACTCTTGAAAGTTCTGACTTAGAAATAAAGCTGTCAGCAGTCTTAGCCTCCTTGTATACAAATAAGGAATCTTTTTGTAAATCTGACTGGCTTAGTTTAAGGTAAAAGCAAATCAGTCTATTCCATGGTTTGTTACTTTATCTTAGTGGTACAGAATTTTATTGCTATAACATTTTATATGAAACTATATTACCAATATATTTCTATTTTAATATCTGTTATAAGTTTTCAAAGAATGTTAAGAGTTACTTTTTGAACAAATTACTAATTTAATTAATTAATTTAATTAATGTTTTGTCTTGAAAGTTTTCTGAGAGACTTCATTTTAGGCTTATTTCTGGAAAAAGGGGGGGAAATCTATATTCCCTCATCATTTCAAATTAAGACACTATACTGTCAGTTTGAAAAGTTAAGTTTAACTTGACAGGACCAAAATCCGGAGTGGCAAAAGAAAAGGCTTAAATACATAGTTTTGTAGCCTTTTCCTTTCAAAGACAAACACAGTCATCCCATCCAAGGACAATGCTCCTCTTTTCCTGCCCAGCTGCACAGAAATAGATACACCTTGTCAGCTTTCAAGTAGGTAATACCACCATCATCCCATGTAATGAAATTTCACTAGGTAGAGAAGAACATTTTTTTTTTTTGCAACTTTACTTCCAACCCGAAGGAAGATACAGGAAGGGCAGCTGAAAAAGATAACCGGCATCCATTAAGAAAACACAACTGCCAGAGTATAATAAATAGCTCAATATTTGAATTGGAGGTAAAGAATCCAAAAAGAATAATTAGCAAACTTGCTAGCAAGAGGGGGAAAAAAAGCAAAACCCGATACTCAAAATCCATTCTGGCTTTCGCACCTCCAACGAGTCCCAACACGATCTGCCGATTAAAATAGCGGATGGCTTAAATAAGGAGCGCCACAAAATGAAAAAAAAGAAAAAAAAAGAGGGGGGGGGAGAGAAACCCCTCCCCCTGTCTCTGACGAAGTTATTACACTGCTTCAAATTCAAACCACTTTTAAGTTTTCCAACCGGAGACGGGCTGTACAAATCAGCTAAAGAGGCGCCAAAGATTTGATTGCCAGATCCCTTGGGAGATCCCGATCCTCCTGGCTGTTTCTCTCCCATCCACCCCCCAAAAAGAAGCAAGCCTCCCTCTAAGGAAAGGAGCGGGGTCGCCAAGCCAGCGTGGACGGGATAATTCTCCGGTCAGAAGAGAAAGACCGCGCGGGAAGGAGAGGGCGGCGCGCCTCGTGGTAGCAAAGCCGCTTGCCAAGAAGCAGCCCCCACCTCTTTCTTTTCTTTCTTTTTTTTGGCCCCGCTCCGGCCCAAGAGGCTTCGGGCCATTGGGAGTCCCCGCCGCCCAGCAGCAGGCCTTCCCCTCCCTCATCGCTCGCTCCCCCGCCCCCCAACGGCCGGGGCTCTCGTGGTCCGGTGCTCGAGCCAGTGGGGGGGGGAGGGGGGGCTCGAAGGCGCGCGGCAGAGAAGGAAGCTGCGACAGCGCTCGGCCGGCAATAGGCGGGAAGCGGGGCGTCTCGAGAGACGGGGCGGGGCTTGCCCATCGTGCTTGGGAGTCCCCGCCGCAGCATCATCTCGCGCCCCACCCCCTTTCCTCATCCCTCCCCGGCAGCCAAGGTCTCCCTTGCCCATCTCGAACTTGCTACGGGAAGTGACGCGCCCACCTAGGAGAGGCATCTCCGGCCAATCGCGAGGAGGACTACAGCCCAGAGGCCAATCGGTCGCCGCCGAGTGGGCGGGGCTTCTCGGACCTTCAGGTTTGTCAGGGAAGGCGCGGCAAGGAGAGGGAGGGGGGGCGAAGGGGAAGAAAGGATGCAGGGCGAAAGCGGGCAGGAAGAAAGGGCGGGAGGGAAGAGAGCGGGGAAACTTCGCCCTTTTTCTCCCTCCCTCCTATCGCCTCAGAAGTAGCAGAAAGATCGCCTGGAGGCCTAAAGCCGTTCTCCCGCGCAGGCGAAACAATCGGGCTCCCGTGCGAACAGGCCAACATCTTCTTTCGCTGATCCCGCCTTTCCCCTCCCTTGCTCGCGATCACACGACCGTTACCTGTAATACGGCGGTTCCCGTCTCTACAGCACCATCCAGGACCCGGATGGAGTCGTCTTCGGTAGCGGCGGCGGCGCCGCTACTGCAGCAGTGCTACCGCCTTTCACAGCGTTGGATCACGGGAAAAAAAAAAACGGATGACGTTCCCACCCCCTCCCCAAAGCGCCTAAGAAAGCTCCGCCTTCCGACCGTGTGGCGAGTTAGGGAGGGCGGGCAAGCCGCTTGTCCGTTATCCCGTTTGGATGCAACCATTGGCGGAGAATCGGGATAGCCCCGCCCCTTTGGTAGATTGCGAGTTCTGATTGGGCAAGAGGAGCGCTCCTGTGGCAGCAGCTGGCTTCCTTACCTGGTTGGGGCTTGAATGCTGCGGACCTCGATTCATCACTTTCTTTTTTTTTTTTTTTTGTCTTTTGCCAAGGCGGGAGAATGTCTTCCCATTGACAGGGACGTGGGGGGGGGGAGGGAGGCTGAGCATCAATCTCGCCGTAAAATAATCACCCCATCCTTCCTTGAAGATGAGTCAGAATCCCGCGAGGTTCGATGCCAGCATTCGCGGAAATACATCTGTGCTCTTTTCTTCCACACAGCACTCCCCCCCCCAAAAAAACCCCCAAATTAGGACCCGCCCTTCGCGATCCTACTTGCAAATCGCATTGAGATCCCCTGTAAAAAAAAAGGATCGCCTTCCTGATCGGAAAGCCACTAAGGCAGAAAATTAATTCGAGAATCAGGTAGTAAAAAAATACAAGCGTAAAATGCGCTTGTATTTTACCCGATTATTCAGGTAATATTCTGATTGTTCAGGTAATTCGGGTTCAGTTAGGTTTACTCCTCAGGTAAATATGTATATAGGACTGCAGCTCCCATTACTTTTGCTGCAGCGTGATAACACGGCATGGCAACCTCGGGCATGCGGAAAATGGAAACTAGGAAAATGGAACCTTCCAAGAAATCCGAGTCCTGTGGAATTTGTCCTGTGGAAGCGCGTTTGGAACTGGGTCAGACGCCTCTGCGAGCAAACTGACAGTTTTGAAAAGGGGCGTAATAAAAGGCCAATATGGTAGTGGTGATGCACTTAGGCCGGCAATCTAAGAAAATTGCTTTGCGATGTAGGTGTGTAGGATTCTTTCGATGGATTAGGTGCCTTCAAGTCATCTGTGACCACACGAAGGAAAAAGGGGAAAAAATCGTGATGCTGCTTCATCTGTGATTGCAGCTTTCTTACTGCTATAACTATGCAATTTGCATATAAGTATCTTGTGGGAGCAGATTTAAAGCAGAAGTCATTTACTCTACTGAAGTGCTAATTTAAATTTAATCTTCAAAAATTATACTGCATAATTTACACCCACACAATAATTAATTTCTGTATAGCAGATTCAGGGAACTTTACTGCACAAGGGCTGTTTCATAATAGACACAGTATGTGCAATGGATTATGTTCTGTATTTGTGGGCTCACTGTTGGTTGTAAAAAAAATGTTCAAAGCACGTGACTTTAAGGCTTAAACAGTTCCATTGCTTCTTTTCAACACTTAAATGGTACATGCTTCTTTCTCTTACAAGTTTACTTATGGAAAGCATGTGATATTTTATCTGCAGTTATTGCCTCTTCCTTGCATGAGATCCCAAGAAAGCAGTCATTCTTCAAAAGATTAAAAAACAAAAAGCAGAAGTTCACATGGGGGAATAGAAGCTGTTAGTTTTACTTCCTTACTTTTAACTTCTTTGTAGAGGGAGCACCATCCTCATGTGCTCTTCCTCTTTTTTATGTCCTCAGCTTCTCTCTTTGTTTTCAGCTTCTCTCTTTGAATATATATATATTGGGGGGGAGAGTCTAATTGTTTATTTGGATATTGAGATGGCATTAACCGGCTTGATTGATAATTTCTATAAGGCAATCTACAGGGGATGTTGTAGTCTAAGACACTTCCAACTATAATTAATACATAGTAGAGAACATATATTAGGGACAGAATTCAAAAAGGTCCAGGACTGGACAGAACAGACTATGTCATAAAAATGTATACAAAGGTAGAATTATTAAAAGAGCCTATCATAGCATGTCCTATAAATATGTAGAAAATATCTGCATTTTTCAGATAAACAAGTAACCTATCTGAAAAAGGTAATATTAACATTATAGAAAGCAGGAGACTGAGTTCTAATTCCGTTTTAGGCATGAAAGTTGACTGGGTGATATTGGGCCACTCTCTCAGCCCAACCCACTTCATAGGACTGTTGTGGGGAAAATAGGGAGAAGGTACTTGGTATAAAAATAACAAAGATAGTCAATAAATAAATAAGTAAAGCAAGAGGAAGCAATAAAACTCTTATGAGGACTCAGTGACCCATATCACTTGGTCATTAAATTTACCTTCCAGGAATTGTTTTATTAAGCTAAACATTGAGCAACACCAAGGTTGGAGCTGTTAACTGAAAGTAATCATGCTAGCGCATGAAATAATTTAAGGTGATAGCCTCTTGTTCCTGTCCCTTTTTTCACTTAGTCAATGGTGTTTCTCTAATGAATTTCCTATTTGAGTGAAAATAGAATTGCTATTGAGATTGGTACAAATGTATAAGTAATTGTGTTGGCTGAGGAGGTGGGATTTTATCATTTGCTCATACACTGTTACATAGAAATGAATCAAACATTTTCTCTAAATGGTTTCTAAAAGATACTGAAATTTCAGTTCTATGTTTTATCACAAGAGGGAGCCAGTGTTCCACTTTCATATATATCTATGAGAATGAATTCTTACCAATCTGCAAGGAAAAATATTTTACTTCTAATGTTGAGCACAAGATTCATTTTTAAAAGAGTCACAAGAAATAAGAATGAATATCACTTTAGCCTTACACTGTGTAAATACTGCTCATCCACTTCAGTTGAAGTATTATACTTTTTGCATTGTAATATCAATTTCATATTTTTTTTTCTGGGAAAATTATTTGTATTGTATAGCAACTTGGAACCAAGTCTTATTTTCATTGTACTCCCAGTAAGGGTCCAGAGGGTGATTAATGCCTCTCATTGGTGTACCCCTTTCTTAAGAAGCCACTCTTGAACTCCACAGTATTAGAAAACATTCTTCCAGTTTCCAATTTTCCCTTTTCAGGAAAGAGTGTTGAGAAGGTGGTTAGCACAAAGCTACCAAGGGCCGTAGACGAAGCAGATTATCTGAACTCATTTTAGCCTGGGTTAGGCCAGGGCACAGCACTGAAACAGCCTTAGTCACACTTGTTAATGACCTTTGAAGGGATCAGGATGGGGTGGTGCAACCATCTGACCCTTCTGGATTTCTCAGTGGCTTTCAGTACCATCAACCATGGTATCCTTTTGAACAAGCTTCGGGGGTTGGGAGGCACTATGTTATAGTAGTTCTTCTCCTTCCTCTGCAGCTGATTCCAGTTGGTGTTAATAGGAGCCTTTTGCTTCTCCTTTTTAACATCTACCTGAAACAACTAGGGGAGGTCATCTGTCAGTATGGGGTCTGGTAGGATCAATATCCTAATGATACCCAATTATGTCTATCCCTAGCCAGACACTGATGTTGTGAGGATGCTGGCCAGATGCCTGCAGGCTGTAAGGGTCTGAATGGGAAGCAGCCAGCTTGGACCCTGGAAAGACAGAATGGCTCTGGGTTTTTTCTCCCCACTCCCCAGACTCAGATATATTCTATTTTTGGATGGGGTGGAAGTTCCTGAGATTGAACCAATACACAATTTGGGAGTCCTCCTGGACTCATGACTTGCTCAAGGAGCAAGTGGCACATGTAACTAAGGAGGCCTTTGCACAGGTTTTTTTCGGTGCACCAATGGTGTCCTTTCTTGGACCTGGAGACCTTGCTGACAGTCATTCATGTCTTGATCATCTCCTGTTTGCATTACTGCAATGCACTCTACATGCAGCCTTAAAGACCATCCAGAAGGTTCAGCTACTCCAGAATGTGGAAGCGTGCACAGTGATGAGTGTTTAGCCATGTAACGTCTCTGTTGTGAGAAATACACTGGCTTCCAATTTTCTTCCTTCCATGTGCAATTCAAGGTGCTGGTTATTACCTTTAAATCCCTATATAGCACAGGGCCAGGTTATTTGTGGGAGTGCCTTTCACTAAAGGCATCCACCTGTCTTACCAAGTTAAATAGGATGGGCATGCTCTTCGTCCCTTCTCTGAAACATTGCCACTTTTATGGGATCTAGGAACGGTGCCTTTTTGGTGGCAGCCCTTGCCCTATGAAACGCTCTGCCTCCTGAAGTTTGGAAGGCATCTACCCTCTAGATTTCTAAAAAGCACTGAAGACAAGGCTTTTCCCTCAAGCACTGAGATAGGATGAGGTGCCAGGTATAATCAGAAACCATATGTTAATGTTTATTGTTTTAATAGTTTTAATATGGTTTTATGCTTGTTTAAGTATTTATGCTATCAGCGTTCCGAGTAACACACCCAAAGAAAACAGAACTCTGATGCAGGCAGGTGCCTCAAAGAACATGTTTATTATGTTCAACATATCGGCATGGCTTGTGAAAATGAACTCTGAAGTTTCCCGCATTAATAGCATACTTAAAAGAGTAGCCATTTCTCTTCCCAAGTGTCCCAAGTCACATTGTCCAATTAAAACAGTTGATGGGTTCCCAGGTCACTCCTCTCCTCCTTCAACTGCCACCTGTTGGGATGACCTTGGTTCCCATGGGAAAGCTAGTTGTTTTGTCTGTGATACAGTCCACCTACTCCCCCTCCCTTAGAGTATGTGGCAACTATGAAGCAGCAAAAGATGGCTTCAGCCAGGTTCGATTCAGAGTTGACATAACCCTTGATTGGGAGTCGTTTGGTATAAGTTGAGCAGCTATATAATTGTTATAAATAAAGTATGTGCAGAATTCTACTTAAAATATTTTATATTTGGGCTGTGAAATTATCGAATCTGCATACATGTTTTCCTGTTGCAGCAATAAGATAAGAAATTACTCTTAAAAATCCCATAGTTAATTATTTTAAAATGGAACACTTTTGTTCTCTGACTGCATTAGTTTTGAATCTGCCATTTTGATTGATGGAAGCTGACTCAACAGGAATGACAATTCGTCACTCTCCAATAATAGACTTCTATTTTTATTGTACATAATCTTGTTTTGTATCTTATATAGTGAAATATTAATAGGATAAAATAATTCAAATTCTTGTTTTTAAAATTACTCAGACTGCATTTTTCAAATATTTGTTTGCTATACAAAATCAGATTGTATGACATTTACTCAAAGATCGAGTAAGTTCATAAGTAATGTTCATGTATCCTAGTAAGAAATGTGAACCTTGATACAAAGTTTTCTCATTCAAATCACAATTCTGTTAAATGCTTCATGAATAATTTTCAGTATGTTTCTTGTAACTCTATCAATGAGCCCTGGTGGCGCAGCAGACTAAATCACTGTTATTAACATCAACTGCCTGCAATTACTGCAAGTTCAAATCTCACCAGACTCAAGGTTGACTCAGCCTTCCATCCTTTCTAAGGTAGGTAAAATGAGGACCCAGATTGTGGGGGCAATAAGATGACTTTGTATAAATATACAAAAGTATGAAGGCTATTGCTTAATACATTGTAAGCCGCCCTGAGTCTCCGGAGAAGGGCGGCATATAAATCAATTTTTTTAAAAAAAAATGAAGGTATATTAAACTTTTTATGTAATTGAGACTCTAAGAAAGGTTTTGATTCCCATTATAGAAATGAATGAACTGAAAGAAAAATAATGACTCTAAATTCCATTTTTTGTTTTTCACAAAGTTGACATAGGACTTTAGAAACCTGCGTTCATTGTATCATAAACAAAATGAATTTGTCATTTAATGAAGAGCTTTGGCTCTACTAAACCTGGAGTTCAGCAAAGCTGATATTTTTACATATTGTAAATGGAAAGAAACGTATTCCCCTGACAGCGAGGAATGAATTTAGAACATGAATCCATTATCTGTGGTAGAGTCTTTATAAAAACTTTATTTAAAATCTCTATCTTCTAAAAATAAGAATTTGAAGCAGTATGTTTCCATATAGTCTGGATTTAATTTTTAGCTTAAGAATTGAATTAGTTCTATACAGTGGTGGGATTCTGCTGGTTCTAGGCAGTTCGGCTGAACAGTTTGTTAAATTGCTGGCTCGTCCCGCCCCTTACCCAACTCCTCTGCACCACTATTTATTGCCAATAAATAGTGGTGGGCGAGGGGCAGGCGAGCCAGCAATTTAACAAACGGTTTGGTGTTTTTTTGTAATTTTATTGGCCTGCAGAGCTTCAACATAGGCTAATTAGCCTGTTGATTAGATCGGCCTCCCGACTCTCAGCTGATTTGCTCTCAGCTGTTTTGCTCAGGGCTCTGCTGCTTGCTTGCAAAGAGTGCTGGAGCAGATTTTTTTCCCCCTAGCTATGCTGAAAAACGAAACTGAAAGTAAAGCAGGCTGTTGGCTTTGCTGTTTGCTGCAACGCTGGAAAATTAGGCAGGCAAATTTCTTTTCTTTTTCCTCACCAAAAAAGGTAGGTGCAAACAATGGGAAATTTAGGGAAAAAGAGGAGAGTTCAAGATTTTAAAACACAAAAGAAAAAAAGCTCTATTTAACTAGGGAATTGTAGTAATTGAGATACTATTAATTGTATATTGTGTTGAAAGCAGAAATGGTTAAGTTGTGGTTTGGAGGAATATAGGGGGGAAATTATTTGGTTTATTATTATCGGTAAATATAATTAATTGATTTGTAAGAAATTGGATTGCATGGAAATAATTGGAATATTCATGTTCATATTAATTAATTTCCCTTCCCTTCCTTCCTCCCTTTTCCTTCCCTCTCTCTCCTTCTTTCTTCCATCTCTCTTCTCTTTCCTTCATCCCTCTCTATTGCTGTATCCTTTTGTACATATGGATTATTCAGAGGGCTGAAAAAGTTATTTTTGACTGTTCCTCGCACTTTTGACCACTCCTTGAACTTATGACTGTCCTCACATTTTACGTTTTTTGCCCTATCTTGTCACCATAGTGAAGAGAAGCAGTTGTGAAATGAGTGACACGGTTGTTAAGAATGCTACAATGGGCATAAATGATGACCAGTCATAAGGGTGAGGACCGGTCAAAAGTGCGAAGACGTGTCAGAAATCACTTTTTTCAGCCCTCTGGGTAGTCCTTTTGTGCATATGGACTACTTAGAGGGCTGAAAAAGTTATTTTTGACCGGTCCTCACACTTTTGTCCAGCCCTTGAACTTACGACTGTCCTCACATTTTACGTTTTGCGCCCTATCTTGTCACCGTGGTGAAGAGAAATGACTGACACAGTTGTTAAGAATGCCGCAACGGGCATAAATGTGAGGATGGTCATAAGTGCGAGGACCAGTCAGAAATGACTTTTTTCAGCCCTCTGAGTAGTCCCTATGCACATAGCCACGCCCACCCGGTCACATGACCAGCTAGCCACGCCCACCCGGTCACATGACCACCAAGCCACACCCCCAACTAAGCCACGCCCACAGAACCGGTTGTTAAAAAAATTGAATCCCACCACTGGTTCTATACCAATACTACACAGGTAAAATATTAAACATTTTTCTTTGTTTAGCTAAGTTTCCATCTTTTTTTTCTTTCTGTTAATATCTTTTAATCTCCACTAATATAGATTTTTTACTCCCGTATAACCATTAGTGAGTTCTTTTCGGTCCATGTGGTAATTTGAATTAGACTGTTAAAATAATTTTAAAAAATAAAATATTTTTAAAAATAAATCCAAATTTACAGATTATCCTAATGGTCTGGTTATTGACACATGCTGCTTGTCAACTTGAAATGATAAAATATAGGGCAGTAATCATTGATCATTTGTAGCATTTGTTTCAGAGCCACTGATTGACATATCAATACCATTCCCATACAAATCTCTAATATTCCTAGCATTTCTTTCTCCTCGTTTTCATCCTGAATCATCTCATCGCTTTTAATACCATTCATTCTGCCAGAGACTTGCTCAGTCCTCTTCACCAATTTACTTTGAACAAAATAGTTTTGAATTTTCTCTGCCTCTGTTAATCTTTACCGTTCCTTACTCTCTTTAATTACAAGCTTTGCAACCATCTTTTTGTCTCTACAGACATCATTCCTAATTTTTCTTCCAGGATTTATTAGAGGAATCAATACCGACACATTTGTCCACTATGCCACGTGTTCATGCTGTTCTAGGCAAGCTAGGCTCCATAACCTAAACTCTTCCATGCAAGCCCCCATCCTGTGAACTAGGTAGCATATAGGTTGTACTGACACGACAGAGTATTGCCAAGTGCGTTATGGAATGTAAGAATACAGAGCCATTTTCCAACGGTTATTTCATGTTTAGAAACAGTCCTATGGTTCCAGTGCTATAAATTATGGATATCAAAAAGCATGTGGCAAAGTCATTACAGGAGAGTGGTGTTCATATCAACCTGTACATCTTGCAAATAATTAACCTCCCTTTTATCAGCCTCTTAATCTGCTTCACTGAAATGTGTTTTAAGCAATACAGATCCTCCGTTGTCCCAAATTGTTAAGAACTAGAATGCTAATGTTGGCTAGAGATAAGCAAAGTTTTGAACATATTGAGGGAAAACTGGTTTATTTGGAATTATTGGAATTGTTAACTGGTTTAGCACAATTACTGCTAAAGGTGCTTCATCAGTGGTGAGTTGCTCCCGGTTCTGTCCGGTTCTATAGAACCGGTAGTAAAACCGGCGGGAGGCTCCGCCCACCCGCCAAAACGTCATCATGAGTGATCTGCGCAGAAGCTCCGGCTGTGAACTGGTAGTAAAGGTAAGTGGAACCCACCCCTGTGCTACATGACATAGGGAGATTTTAATTTTTCTCTGATGACAGTGAAATATTGGGCATAAAGTGCACAGAGATCAAAACAGACTTTCATTTTCTACTTAGCACTGAAGATGTTCAGGGTTAGACCAAATAGAATCTTAGACTCCTTTCAACATTATGTAGAGTTGCAAAGTAATTCTTATTTTCCTTAAACTGATCTATGAGGAATCTGGGGTAGTAGATTTGTCACCCATATTATATAAAGCATTGTAATCCAGAGCTGCAGAGAACTAAGATTTTGGGAAATTCAATGACATATTTAGCAGAGAACTCAAATAATAAAACCTGCAAAAAGCCAATAGTTCCATAAGCCTTCTTTAAACAACCGAGAATCGCCTTTATTTTTTGCTATCATCAGATTTTGCATTTCTTTTTTTCCCCAGCCTTTCAAATGACTTTCTAATCTGAAAGTGATAATTAACACCGTCTGGTGTATGGTATATCAAATAGCATACTGTATTGTTGCATTTATAAATATTTTACTTCAGAATTAATACTGAACAGCCAGTACATTGACATTTTGCTGTTAGTTTTTAACTCATTTCTATGTGGAATATAAATATAGTATTCTTTTCTAAAGCGCCTTACATCATAACTTTCCTTGATACTCATTCTGCTTCTAGTGAGAAGTCGATTTTACGTGGTGTGTTATTTCCTTCACTGTGGGAGATGTGTTGATTAGGTTCTTGCTTCATTTCACTTGATTTCTGGAAAAAATCGAGTACCTCTTGGCAGAAATATTCATCAGGAAATCCACCAGAGAAAGAAAATGCAGGACATTCCAGCTTGAATGCTTCAGGGAGCTCACTGGAACTTGCAAGAGTTTCATCGGAATTAGAGGAGATATAATTATTAATGCTGATGCCTTTGATCAAATCTTTGAAATATTGCCCAATAGAAATATGACAGCCATTTGTATCTTGTTGTATGTGCTTTCCTTCTGTAAGTTTCTCTAACTTGCTTCTAAATATTTTATCTTCTTGAAGAAAACGCACTGAAGTGGTATGCTGTTCCAAAAAGGCTTTCATTTGATGATAAAGGTGTGTGGGGACTTGAAGGTCATTTGCTAAGAGCTGCAGCTTTTCTAGTTTTGTAGAATAATCCTTGCATAACTCCCCTTTCAGCTCAGCCATTCTGCATCTGATACCTTTGATTAGGCTATTTCCTACAGCTTCAATCATAACCTTGACACCAGTATTGGTATATGCAAGTTCATTGATCTTTATTTCAATTTCCTGTCAAAGTATAACAAAGTATAAAAGCTTAGAAACAGTCCAAAAAAAAAAACCTATTTAGAGCAATTTAAATATTTGAAAGGGAATTCTGAATACTTGTTCAATTCGGGTAATCAAAACAATGATTGATAAATACCTTTGGTGACACAATTACAAAGATATTGCAGTGCTGATGTTGTAGATAGTTTGTTAAAATGTTTTTTTTGCACAAAATCACACATGAAATGCAGCATGTCAAAGGAATTCCTACTTTCAACTAGGGATTCATATATCTCGACTATGTGGAAGTCACCTCAAACGTGACATAGTTGAATGACAATGTGACTGCCATTCTAATATACAAAGTTAACTAATACTGACAAAATTTTATGATCGTTATTATGTCCTATTTCAAAGACCATAATTGTAAGAAAAAGGTAAATTTAAGAAATATTCTTTACCATATGAGCCTCGATAAAAACATGAAGTTGAACTACTATGACTCCACTGGCAGAAGTAGATGCGGATATACAATCATAATTTTTCCATAACCCCAAACTACAGGTAGTCCTCAACTTACAATAGTTTGTTTAGTGACCGTTCAAAGTTATAACATCACTGAAAAAAATGACCTATGATCATTTGTCACACTTACGACCATTATAGCCTCCTCATGGTCATATGATTAAAATTCAAATGCTTGGCACTACAACTATATTTATGAAGGTTGTAATGTCCTGAGGTCATGTGATCCCCTTTGGCAACCTCCTGACAAGCAAAATCAATGGGGAAGCCAGATTCACTTAAAAACCATGTTACTAAGTTAACAACTACAGTGATTCAATTAAGAACTGTGGCAAGAAAAGTCATAAAATGGGGTAAAATTTACTTTCAAATGTCTTGCTTTGCAACAACTTTGCGTTCAATTGTGATTGTAAGTTGAGGACTATCTGTATACATAAAAAGAGACACCCCAGTAACTTTCTCTACACTTAAAATATTGTCCCTTTCTTTTAGAGCAGACACTGAATTGCATTCTAATTACTTTAACATTGTCAATTGGTTGATAGATTGATCTTTTCATTTAATTTACATAGCTGCTATTTCTATTTCCTCAGGGTCTTGCGGAAAAATCAGGTGGAACAACAACTGATGACTTCCTTTTACCGGTCTACGATAGAAAGTGCCCTTACATATTGTGTTACAGTATGGTATGCTGGCTTGACAGTCGTGGACAGAAAGGCATTACAGAGGGTGATGAGCACAGCACAAACAATTATGGCCTGTCCCCTGACACCACTGGATGAAATCGCCAGGACCCACTGCCTCAACAGAGTGAGGAAAATCCTCAGGGATGAGTCACACCCTGGTCAGCACTTCTTTACTTTCCTACCATCGGGCAGGAGATATAGAAGCACAGCCAGCCGAACGAACAGGCTGAAAAATAGCTTTTATCCGTGGGCTGTCAGACTTCCGAATGCTACGTAACACCACAATTAGGTTTAATATGATAGACTTGCAGGGCCAGCGCAACGTGCAACGTGTTCATACCGATGTAATATAATATAATGTTACATACTGTACATATAAGTATAAGGGGATTGTGTTAGTTATTACTTATTTGAGTTTAGGGATTCTATTTCTTTCATTTATTGAGTTATTGAGATGTATTTTGGGGGGGGGGGGGGGGAGGCTGCACCAAGGGAGTCTCATTCAATTTCATTGTACACATATTGTGCATTGACAATAAAGGTTTGGTTTGGTTTGGTTTGATTTGATTTGATTTGATTTGATAACTAAGTGTGCAACTCTTGGAGGCTATCTTCTACTTAAAAACAACAAAAGTCACCAGAACAAAATTAAAAACACATTATGCCCAAGGCTACTTATGCTTCTACATTAATAAACTCCCTGAAAATGAGCTCACCTAAGGTCCTGGTTCATTGCCCAAGAGAGGAGAGGAGAATCAAGTACTCAAAACCTACAAAATAGCACTGTAGCAGAATCATTGGGATGGAAAAGGATGGATTAGAGGCCTTCTAATCCAATCACTCACCACAGTGGAATCCTCAACCACCCCAAGACAAATCGTCACTATTATGGCTTTTGCTTTTTTTTTCTCAAGTAGCTTTTTTCTAGGCTCTCTGAATGCTCATCAGTTCTAGTTTCACATGGGATATTTTGAAGTCTATGGCAATGTGATGCAATTAATTTTCTCAAAGGTTTTTTCAATGCCCAAAGTGACATTGAAATGGGTTTACTATAGTAATACAACCAAACATATTTATGAACGAATATAATGGAATCATACTGATGACAGTGTCAATCTCTAGTTTCTTTTCATTCCTTCTCTCTTAATTACTGGAAGTTTAAATCCAACAGCACTGATTCCGGCTCCTTATGACCTATGGACCATAACGAATCAGCAGGTTTATATGGAGAATTAAGGATTAAGGATTTACACTGTGCCACTTCTTTGCCTATCACTGTGACTTGTCTTTTGATTGCTACTCTCAAGATACCTCCCTCTGCCTTTTTTCCCAAGTGCACATCCGAATACACACACACACACACATATACAGCCCATAGTGTTTGATTCTCCTCCTGGTAGGATGTAATTAGCTAGGTGCTAAGTTTTACCTAACCATATAATTTACTTCCTGTAAATGCATTTTATTTTGGTTACTATATGTAGTCCTTGATTTAATGATGGTTCTGAGTTATAACAAAGTGAACAAAGTGACTTATAACCTGTTCTTAAGTTACACTGTTGCAGCACTCCCGTGGTCAAGTAATCATGATTCGGGCACTTGGCAATCAGATCACATTCAGGATGGTTGCAGTGTTCTGCAGTCATGTGATCAAGATTTACAACCTTCCAAACTGGCTTCATGAAGCAAAGTGGGAAGCCAGATTTGCTTAACAATCATGTGATTCACATAGCAACCAAAGTAGACATGGTCATAAAATCAAGTCTGGTCACGTGATCTGGTTTTTGAAATCATGAAATAAAAGCACTGAAATAAAAATTGTCACGTTATAAAACGAAGGAATCAAGGTTCTTGGACGGTACCTTCCTTGCCTGCTCAGCATATTCAGACTGTTGGAATACCCAATCTAAACCTTTGATGAAACTCTTTTTCCTCTCTGCGTACACTTCAGCAATTTTTGCTACAGTATGGGATTCATGGTCTCCAAAGAGCTTGCAAATGGCGCATATTGGTTTATCATCAGTGAGACATACCTGGATGAAAAGATATTGTTAAGTTATTACCTGGTGGCATAGCCTTAGAGTGCAATACAATATTTGCTGCTGTTGGTGTTTTTCATCCAGGGCTAGATTAGGGCTGCCATCCCTAACTCTAAAACTTCAAATGACTACTTGATGATTTCAGATTTTCAAAACCTCTTTGCTGTTTACAGGGTGCCCTAAGGGTGAACGAAAAATTTATTTTAGTTATGGTACTATAAGAAATCTGGAGCTTCTAAAGTAGGGTAGAGCCAATCTGAAATACAATTCCCATCCAGACCTCAGCCGCTCTATCCAATAGTGAGACCCATACCTAATTCAGCAAAATCGGCAGGGCCACACGTTTCTCACGCTTCCTTGCTATAAAGTGAAAGTACTGCTTGTCACTGGAAACAACAAGCAGTAAAAAAAAAAAAAAAAGAATCCCAGTGGATCCCAGCGGCATGCATGCACCAGAAACTGGAAGGTCATCTTCCAAGCACACGCATGCGCACCAGCCAACTGCTCTTCCGGTTTCTGGCGCTCACAGTCCTGTTTCGGCACTCAGTGCCGAAAAAGTTCGCCAACACTGCTCTAGCCATTGCTGACTACAGGGAGCTCAAAAACATTGAGCCAGTGCTGTCTGAAAACATCTCCATGGTCATGTGGTCAGCATGCCATCATGGAGCAGTTACCTTCCCATCAAAGTGGTACCTATTTATCTACTCACATTTGATGGATGTGGGACAAGGATGGGATCTCACCCCATTGTGTGGCATTCGGGTCTCAAACCTGGCTGCCTGCTTTCAGGAGAGAGGGACGGAGAGAAGAAGGAAGGAAGGAAGGAAGGAAGGAAGGAAGGAAGGAAGGAAGGAAAGTTTCTAATGCTCAGTGCCAGCTTCCGTCAAGGAACTTCAGTGGAGAAGCCAACAGGATGTTGGAAGTTGCTCCTGTTCTCTCTGATTTTTGCCTGCCTATGGTCATTCTATTTCTCTGTTTAATAAGGAAACAACTCAGATCACGGCTTATCGAATATTCTATTAAGATTGATTAAGATGAGACATTTCCTTAGAAATCAGTAATTAATTAACTGCAGAAATGCAGTAATTTCATGAAGCATTTCATGGCACGTGTCAAACATACCCTTTATTCATCCCTTAGAATTTTAATCAGCCTAGATAATGTATGGGGGGGGGTGTCTGAAGCTCAGTGATTAAGAAGCTGAGTTTGTCAGCTGGAAAGCTGACAATCCATGTTTGAGACCTGAACTCTGCACAACAGGGTGAGCTCCTGTTCTTTTCCCAGCTCCTGCCCACCTAGCAGTTCAAAAGCATGAAAATGCGAGTAGAAAAACAGGTACTACTTTGTTAGGAAGGTAACAACGTTTAGTGTTCCACCGCATACTCTGCACTGCGGTGTGATGTCATGCTGGATGCATGACCACGGAAATATCTTTGGACAACGGTGGCTCCCTTGGCTAAGAAACAGAAATAAGCACCATCACCCCTACACAACTGGATAGGGAAAACCCTATCTATATGTTGGATAATCAATTTGTGTGATTATTGTTATTAAATATATTTGTCACCCATCTCTCATCTCAAGATGATTCTGAATGGCTATAAAATTCTATTACATTGAGTTATACTTGAAGAAGTTGGGTGGGCAGGTGTGAACTGTAAACTTTAAAATGAACATTCCTCCAAGAAACACAATATATATATATAAATTATGTTACTGACAGAAATATGGTTTTATACCAAATTCATGCTTTCTCCATGCTCCTCACATATTTGAGACAAACGGTCTTGTTCTCTGACATGAAGATTTTCAAGCTCATACTTAAATTTTTCAAGAACATTCTCCACTAGGATATTCCTTGGCAATCCAATAAGTCCTCCTCCTCTCAAGTATACAGTCTGAAACAAAGCCATTGTATAAACAGATTTTTCTTTTAGTACCTGCCTTATGTTCAAATTCTTTTAGCAAACAAATCTTTCAACCTAGCTTATCTTCTGTGGAATGCATGCTTGTGGCAATGCATGCTAAACTACAGATAGTCTTACAATTGTTAATTCACAATTACGACAGTGCTGAAAAAGGGACTTATGATCTTTACCTGAAGTTACAATTGCTGCAGTGCCCCCACAATCATGAACAAAATTCAGGTTCTTGGTCATCTACCCACCAGGGGTGGGTTTTACTTACCTTTACTATCAGTTCGCATCGTGCCCGCGCGCAGATCACTTCTGATGACGTCCGGGTCAGTAGGCGGAGCCTCCCGCCAGTTTTACTACCGGTTTTATAGAACTGGTCTGAACCGGGGGCAACCCACCACTGCTACCCACCCTTACATCTACCTACATATATGCTGCAATGCCCCCTCCATCTATTTCCTTTGGACTTGCTTCTGTACCCTGTTTGATCTTGCTTCCTTCTCTGCTTCCCTTCTCACTGTACTGTATAGGTAGGCCCAGGGCAGATCAGTCGGTTCTTCCCAAAGGTGATCTCCTAAATCAACTTCAGGAAGAGAACAGGCTAATCTGCCCTGCAGTCTCCATATAGGAAGGCCATGTGGTGCTGTCCTAAAAGTGGGCACCATTTTGAGAGCAGCTGCAATGCTCAGATCACAAAAACTGCCCCATTTCCAAAATGGTGCCCGATTCCAGGATGGCACCATGCGGCCTCTGAGTAGGAAGGCCATGTGGCAGATCAGCTGCTTTTTCTCAAAGGTGATCTACAAAAAAAGTAAGTTTGCCAAGCAAAGATTGGGGGTGGGGTGAGGGGGTGCAACCCAGAGAGAAAGGAAGCAGCTCCAAGGCCTATGGTGACTCAGCAGGGTGGGAAGTACCTCAAATAACAACTTATGAATATAACGGGCACACTCTATTATGGTCATAAGTCGAGGACTACCTGTATTGATTGTATGAATAAGTATGGCTCATAAAAAGGCATTTTGATATTTTCCTAAAGATGTGCTCTCCAACTTAAAATTATAGTGAATTATTGTATCATTTTCATTCTATAGGGCATAATTTTGTTCTATCCAGATTTTTCATAATTGGCTTTTGTTCTATCCAGGTTTTGTATAATTGGCTTTATCACAATGGAAAGTACTTTTTTTTTCTTCATTTCACCATATCAAAGGATAGCTTCATGAGGGACTTTCTTCACTTGCACTAGTTAGGACATTGGATTTGAACTGGTTTTTTGTCAATAATTTTTCCATGATGTGTGGCCTCAAGTTTCATTTCCCACAGATAATTTACTTGGTAATTGATTGTTCTGTTTGATAAAGCATAATTCTTGGAATTTATTCATTGAGTAATATCAGAACAAGTTTGTTTGGAAAAGTAAAACGATATAGCAATAGCAGTATGAGATCCTACTTACTTTTCTGCACATAGGGCAAGAGAAATGCCCATTGACATGGCTACAATTTTGGAGAATGAGAATCTTTTCCAGGCATTTTTTGCAGAAATTATGTGCACAAGACAGGACCAGCACTGGGGGAGTGAACAGTTCTAAGCACACTGGACATGACAGCACCTGCACCAAAGCCTCCATAATATTCCTGCACTCAAACAGATAATGACCAACTGTAATGTTCTTTTCTAGCTACATTTACAGTTACATTCTAGAATGTCACTCTGACTCATTTCTCACAGTAACTCCATAGCAACATAAGCCAACAGTAACACCTCAGTTTTTGCAGAAGCAAGATCTAATGAATTCTGAATTTAAAATATCCATTTTTATATAATGGAAATGCAAATTAAATTTGTATATTAGATAAATTATATAATAAGAGTTACATAACTAAAGGTTTTACAATGACCTGGAGCTAGATTTTTCATCAGTGAACAGAGCTACTGAACTCAATGGGACTTATATTACTGTAATCATCATTAATTTAACATCCATTGTTCCATTGTAAGGATTGCTAATTCTGGAGGATATAACCCATTGTTCTGCCTTTTAGGAAAATTTGAAATTTCCTGTTAGAAAGAACAAATAGTAAGTAGTTCAACTAAGCAGGGGGTTGATGGATTAGCACAGCTAATGGCATCCTCAATCCGCTGTCTCTCTGAGAAGGCACCTTAATTTAGGTGGAAGCCTAAATTAAGAGTTATAATAAAAATAAGTATTGGTTGTCAAAATATATGTATGTCAAAAACAATATCTCTGGCGTCTGTTGAAGTGCAAATATAGAAGAAAATAATCTGGCCACTTCCCAAGTATATTTTTTTCATTTCAGAGAATAACTGGATAGTATCCAGTGGCAGTTTTGTAATAGAAAAAAGGATTCACTAGCACACTACTTTTGTGCTTTTACACATCTAATTTTCACTAAGTGGCTTTTCTGAGATTTCTGGGATTTTCTTGAAAAGGTGCTTTATAGCACAAAAATAGCAACTATTTGCAACATCTTCAAGCAACTTTTTTTTTCCAGGACTATGGAACGCTTATGCCTTTATTAAAAATTGTTAGTCAAAAAAGATGCTGGCAGCTTCCTGATCTTTTGCTCCCATAGACTAGCGTGGCTGTCCTCCTCCTAAGTTTCCAGAACTACCATAGGTGGCAATTATCCCCAGGGATGTTTAAGGTATTGCACACAGGAGGGGAAAACTGGATGCTTTCCTAATTCAAGAGCAAAACATCCATTGAAGCCCAATTCAATACAGGAGATTAGAAGAGATGCAGAACTTGCTCCCTCCAAATATTGCTGAACTATAATTGCCAACAATTCCAGAGAGCACAATTAGTGTTGAAGGATGTTAGCTTATATATTCAGCATCTGAAGGTGAGTGCCTTTCCCCTTTCAAAATCTGCGTATCACATGTATTGTTTAAAGTGATTTTGTTTATCTTACATTTAAAGCTGATGTCTAGCATGTTTCCTTATATGACAATTGCACATCAAAGGAACTGTGTTACTTGCGTCAGAAAAACTATTTCCTTTCATTGCAGATGTATAGATTTCACTGAGTGGTTACAGTAAGTACTTGAAGTATTATATAATTTCTGGCTATCCTTCTGAAAAGCGATATTGTACTTGAAAAAAGTACAAAAACAGAGCAATTAAATTGATGAGGCATAGATGTAGCTGTTATGCAAGAATGGACTGCAGTGTCTGAGTCTTTTTTTTTTTTTGTTTGGAACAAAAGAGAAAGAAGTATTTAAAATTCATTCGCATGAAATGAAAAACATAAATAAGGATTGTTTTTCCCTGTCATAAATTACCGGTAAAATTTAAGTAACCATTAAATTAAATGTGAGACTAAGGATTATGTAGTTTATATAAAAGATCATTAAAACAGAATTTGCTGCATGGAAATGTGGAGATGGGCAACAGTTTGAATGGTTTTTGAAGGGACTACATAAATGGATGGTGTGTTGGGCTTTCAATGGCTACTTACATAATCATAAATGACATGCCTTAGAATTACTTAATTTAGAATTACATGAAGAAGGACTATTGCCGCCTTCTCCTTTTTTGGGAGTATCCAGAAGACATCTAGTTATCCTTTGAATAGCACAGAATGCCTGAGTAGATGGATAATTGGCCTGATTCATCTCTTATGTATGTCATACAACTCTTACTAGTACTACTACTACTTCCACTTACTGTTACCACCGCTTTGGAATCGGGAGCGTGCATGAGCGCACTCACTTCATTCACACACAGCGCTTCCGTACCTGCGCAGACTGTCTGTGATGACGTCCGGGCGGGTGGGCAGAGCCTCCCACCGCCGCCATTACTACTACAATAGAAGTGAATATGGCTGCTATGGGTCTGATAGAGCCTGTAATATCTGATTAACAAAAATAGCTTTTATCCCATTTTCACTGTTAAAATCCAGTTAAGTGTTTTTTTTAAAAAATAGTCAATGGACTTACATTCCACATCCAGAGGTGCAGTTATATATTAGCACTATTAACAGGAAGGGTTGGAAGAGACAAAATCTCATGAGAACAGAAGCAAGATTTATGGGAAAGGCAAAGAAAAATGAAAGCTTATCTTCTAGTTTTTCTAGTTGCCTGCAGAGGTACTACATTCTAGTTGGCAAAAATAATTCCATGTCCCTTTCAGATTTCTAGACTCAACAACTGTATTAACAATTGGTACTAATGACAGAAGCCAAGATGTTATTGAAGGGGTATCTACACAGGAAGTTTCCCATCATATCTTTTTATCAAGGTTCTTGTTATCAATCCTGCTTATAACAGGATATTTTAGTATATTAGTATATATTAGTGCCGTGCAAAATACTGGACAAGGATTTTTAGATAGCAAATTATCTTCTATTTTTGGTAAATCAGCCTCATGGTCAAAATAAAATCCCCTTCTGGTCTCTCTTGTACTGATCCTCTATAAGTAACAAAGAGATACATTAGATATTTTTGAATGTATTTAAACTCATTTAAATAGTTATCTGGGTTAAAATAAAACTAGAATGAAAAGCTAAATCAAGAATGTCAATAACCATGAGGACAATTCAAACTAGGACTACTAACCTAGTGAGGTAAGAAACCCTGATTTATCAATAGCCAGGAATATTTTTTACTGTAAATATTTCCTTTATTCGTTTGTTTGTTTTTAATGAGCGACTATAACACACATCTCATTTTTCACATTTACAGTATTTTATTTTAAAAAATAGAAAGTTTCAACTTTCTCAAAACTATTTATGAGCTGGCAGTTGTCTACCTTCATATTTTAAATCATCTTTATATTTTTTGCTACAAATTTATTTTGGCATTAAAATCAATTCTTTTACGGCTACCAAGGAAAAGTCATTTAGCTGTACAACAGTCATTTGTATCAGTCAATGTTTACTAATCATAAAATAAAACATAATACTACTAATGTAAACAAGATTTAAGCTTAAAGAGTTTTAATACACAAATATTAAACTGAATAAACCAGCACATTATGGCAGTGAATTATGGCAACAATTCAATATGAAAAAATAGCAGGTTGAATGTAGCTTTCATTCAGCCAATGGGAACGGAGCCTAACAAAGTGCTGCTGAGATCATCCCTGCTGGGGGAAAAAGGTGAAGGAAAAGCAATCTAGGCTGATTCCCCATCCAACAACAGTGGGCCAACACCACTGGTTACGGACCTCCATTCTTCTGTCCCTAACCCTCCTGAACAGATTCTTGGTGACATATGGGAGAGGAGGAATCAGCGAGGATCACCTTATCCACTTTGGAACAAAGGGATTTTTCTCTTTGATCCAACCAATAACTTATCGCTGAAAAACTATATATCATTTTAATGTAATAGTCAAAATGCCTCATTACAATCACAAAAAATGGCAAGTTATTAAATAACAATGTACATACATATACAGGAAAGCAACCTTCCAATATTTAATAAACAACATTAACATAAATTTAATTAATGCAAAACAAGGGATACGAAAGAAAGGTAGTTTTTTAACACTACAAAAAATTGTAGCATAGAAATGTAAACTTCATAAAAGCTTTCCTGTTTCTTCACTGATATATTGTCTTTGGTGTTCCAGTATCTGTTTGAAAACATTCTTTAAAATGCTGTAAACATCTGATCCACCTTCAGAATCACAGTTCATCTGCTGAAAACAAACTTAAAGTTATCTTACAAAACATAAGAAACATCAGGGTTTTATTCAGAGGTTTGTCCTCCGAGCTTGCTGGCTGCTTGGCTCACGGAAGTTTCATTACAAAACTAGGTAACATCTTCAGCGGGTTTTGGGTGAAGTGTCTTGTTTGCTTATATAGGTCTTGTGTTTATTCACTGTCTTGTGATTCAATGAGTCTTGTGACTCAATCAGTCGTCTTGTTCTGAATCCAGGACAAGACACTTCATCCACAACCCACTAAAGATGTTACCTAGTTTGGTAATGAAACATCCAGGAGCCAAGCAGCAAGCTCAGAGGACAAACCTCTGCCTAAATCTACAATCTCAGCTACAAATATTCTCTACAATCTCTAACATCAGGGTTTATCCCAATAGAATAATATAAAATGTAAAGGATTCAACGAACTCAAGGACTCAGTCATTTATCTCAGGGATCCTCAACCCGGGGCCACGTCCCACTTCCAGGCCTTGAGCCTTTTGGAAATGCAGCTGTGCACGCATGCTTGCCCACCACATTCCCCTTTCCCTCACTGATCCACAAAGCCAAAAAGCTTGAGGAACTTAGTATCTGATACTAAAACATTCAGATAATATAGTTTTAATCTATAATGTTTCCACTATAATACTTTACAATGGCTACAAAACTAATAAACAGAAAAATGAGAGCTTTATGTAAAATATTGTTTCTGAATTAATTATTCAAAGTTCTAGTAAGTTACTTTTTTCTTTCAGCTATTCTATGCTTTATCAAAGCAAATGTTAATGAGACATATTGCACTTTATTTATTTTTCTTACAACTAAGCAGAAGCAATTGGTTTTTGTACACAAGGGAAAATGTGTGAGTGCTACAATTTTGTATATTTTTAATAAATCTATTCTGACTCTTGTCATGTGTGAAAAAATAATTTAAAAATATGTGTTATATCGAAATAAACAGTAATAATGACTGAAGTACACATATGAATTTCCTTCCAGTGCTATTCTTTCTTTAGATTCCATGTGTAGAAAGATAACCTGGATGCGCTAGAGTGAGATAATATAAATTCTTTCAGCTCACTGAAACTTTGGACTCCATACAAACAACTTATAGCCACTGTTAATCATTTTCCCCACATACAGCAAATCAACCATCTGCTGGGTAGAAGTGAAACATATTGCTGAGGAAGATGAAACTTTTTATTGTATTATTTATTTATTTAAATGTCGCCTTTATTACTTTATAAATACCCCAAGGAATGAACATACCTAATACTCATTATTTCTTCTGTTTTTCCCTCAACAAAAACACTGTGAGATGGATTAGGCTAAGAGAGATGGACTGGCCCAAGGTCATCCATAGGGCTTTTATGTCTAAGGTAGGACTAGAACTCAGTTTCCTGATTTCTAGGCCAGCACCTTAACCACTACACCAAGCTGTCTCTTACTGACAGAAAACAGATGGCCATCTCTCTTCTCTCCAAATAATCATGTCTGTAGATGTGAGAGCGATTGTAGGTGCATATGCACGAAATAGAGGTGAAGTATGTTTTGCTTGTATTTCTGAACCAATACCCAAACTGGAATTTAATCTTTCAATATCTGCACTTTTCCAAATTTTGCAAGGCACTTTGCCACATGTATACAAATCTGCCTAAAAATTATAGAAGGAAATATTTAAAAATATATAGCGATTTACAAAAGTGCAGGAAAATTGGTTGCAAAAATAACTTTGCAAACAAAATTCAACATATTGTAACAGACAATAGATACACAAAAATAAGGGGAAAAATTAAATTGACAATCCAGAGTATTAGAAAGAATGGTTATACAGGATTGTGCTGAACTGTAGTCACTGACATGTTTTGTTGAGGTAATTGCAAGAGCACAAATGCAATGTGTCCAGAAAAGTTTATCCATACTTTGTACACTGTTTACAAATATTTCAGATATTGCAATGTTGCAACGGCCTGCAACATGGAAGATCAAATCATACCGCTTTTCCTCTTCTCATAAACTTGTTGTCAGCTTTGGAAGCCATTAGGCCGGAAGCTTCAATGCTGCCACCTCCTCATGTGTGGGAAAGTAGGAGGGGGGGATTTAGGAGAGGGGGTTAGTATACATAATAGCATTCTTCCTGTCGGTCAAGGTCAGGGCGATCCAGCATCTGGAGAAGGAGTGGTCGGAGGGCTGGGTCGAGATGGAACGGACATTGATTGGAGCATGTGATCGATTGGGGAGAAAGGAGGTGGTTTTGGGAGCTTTGACTAACTGAAGAAAAACCCGGGCTTTTCAGATTCGGGATTTCCCAGATGTACCAGTTTGCCTATTCTAGTAAAGAGAACTTTGGAAAATGCTTGCTTCTGCATTTTTACTTGGAGTTGGAGTTTTTCTGGAACATTGACATTTGTCCTCAGACAATGATTCAAGATTCAATAACTCCGTTTCTCAAAGTTTTACATAAATTGCTATAATTTATAAGCTATAAGGCAAACTCCATAGGAAGCTGATACTCATTATTCCATGGACTTAAATAGACAAGGAACCACTTATAAATTGGTCTCAGTACAAGGAGGAGACAATTTAAGTTCCTAGCAAGAAATAACCGTTTGAATACTTTATCATCAGGATTATGGAAAGTACTGTAGGCTGATCAGCAGCCGCTGATGTATTTATAACAAAAGGCCACATATGCTACTTGCCTTGGTGAATGCTTTAATGGCACGATTAAGCAGCAGCTCTTCCACATCTGTTGGTATTTTCTGCAAATTCACCACACAGTTTAAGATACATAGTATGGTATGATATTTTCCCTGAGGAAGCATAAATCAGACTATTAGGTATTATTAGTGAGCAACTCTGAAAACAAATAGGATACAATTCAACCCAAGTTAAGCAAGACGTAAATATGGGAGATGACCTTTTGGATGAAAAATGCAAGGGGAGAACTCCTAACTTCAATTACCATTTGAAAATGTGTAGAAAGAGAGTCGACCACGGAAGAAGGTCTGAAGAGAGAGAATCATATCTTCCCCCTGATCTTGATTCACAAGAGCCCTTTCATTCACAAAAAGCTAGTACGATTGGAGAATGTTCATTTAAGCATACCTGATATTGAACTGTATTTACTTAAATTTGTTAAAACATATATTACTCCTTTCCACAAATGTCATCAAGATAGTACGATTTAAAATCAGTAAGATAATTAAAGGACCCTGGTAATCTATTACTAGCATCTTAGAAGGAACATTTAAAGAAATGCTTTTTAAATCCTTTGCTGAAGGAAGAGAAAGCATCCATTTGGGAGCATACAAAAAGAGGCACCCTTTTTACATGTTACTGTTACTATGAGGCTTCTCCAAAGCACTACTGTTGAAAATCTCTGTTAAGTGGGCAATCCCTCAATGTTTAAAAATATATCTGATCACAGAAAAATCTTGCAATAAGCAAAAAGTAACAATTCTTCTAAAAGTGCTCCAATAGTATTACCACCTAATAAACTAGACAAGAATTGTTCCGTTCTTCCAGCCCATACCTCCTGGACAATTTTAGCTAACAGTACAAACAAAATGATGTACAATAGACATATAATATACAGTAATGAGTTTTCTTGATATGTCTCACACAGATAGACCTTTAGCAACAATACTTGGGACTAGCAATTTGGTCATTAAATCTTTAAGTGAAACTATGACTAGGACTATGATCTTACTTCAATTATCCTTTTGCTGTGATGGTCGGAAATGTGAGAATTGGTTGTAAAATTATTTTTTAATCACCATGATAACTGTGAATACAAGGCAATCACTAAATGAGGACTTCCTATATTCATATCAATGTAGCTATATCTATCCTGTCCTGTCCTGTCCTACTCTATCCTATCCATCCATCCATCCATCTATCCACCCATCCATCATAGAAAGATATTGTGATTAGCCCAAGATAATCTAGATGGCTTCCATACCCCTCCTCCACTCTTTACTTTGTCTTCAAATCGGATTTGACTCCTAGCAATCACATGGAAAGTCTATAAAGTTTTGTAAGTGATATGCCATGTCTTCTTCCTAGAGTTGACAGAGGAGGATAGGCGCAAAGTCATATTGCTGGCTTCTGTGCATAAATCAAGATTTAATTTAGATTTCCCCATTCCTACTCCAGGGCCATAACCACTAGACCAACGAGCTCTCAATCTATCATTATATATTACTAAAAGAGAAGAAGGAATTATAAAGGTCAGAAAAAACATTAAGTCAAAGAAATAAATATAAATGCTCGTTCATCATTCATACAAAATTAAGAACAAATCTATTTTCATTTTTTCTGCACAAAAAATGCCTCGAAAGAGATGTCAAAACTACCTTTGAAGAAATATATGATAAAGAATGATGTAATTAACCAGAGATGTCACTAATATAATAAGATACAGCTTAGAAGCAAATACCAGTTATCTAAAATAGAAGACCTCACTGTAGATCTATTAAAAATTTAATCAGCAGAATAAATTGCTTCCCATTCATTCTGTAACAGGTCATCCAATTGCTCCTATATTTCAATTGGTTTTAAATGTTAGCTAAAGCAAGTATATATTGTACTTTTAGTCAATGCATCTCATTTCTGCCACTGAAAGCCATGATAAACATACACAAACACATGAATAAATCACTCATTTTTCACATACTGTAAAGAAGCAGGAAAAATATGAAAGCTGCTTCATCTGGGCTGACAAAAGCAATATCATAACATCACAATGCAAACTTGCCACTGTTTTGCATGTCACAACACTCATCACACGTGCAAAAGGAGAAGAGCTTCCAGATTAACAGCATATGTTAGAATGGCGCAGTTCAGTGGTGGGTTGCCCCCCGGTTTGCACCAGTTCTAAAGAACCAGTAGTAAAACCGGCGGGAGACTCCGCTCACCGACCCCTATGTCATCAAAATGCTTCTGCGCAGAAGAACATGTGTGCGTGCGAGCGAAGTTAGCGCGTGTGCGCGGCCCCACTGCAAACCGGTAGTAAAGGTAAGTAGAACCCATCCCTGGTGCAGTTGCTTTCATTGTTCTCATGAAAGCAGCAAGAATCTGTTGTTGACCAAGAAATGTGAAAAGATACATATGTTGTTTACCTTTTCTAGCAGTTTGAATGCTTCTTGAAAATCCGTATTATTTTTTGCTAACACATCAACATCATTTTTGGTTAGAAGCGGTTCTTTAAGTTGCTCTATCCAAGACCACATCAAATTACTGAGAATAAAAGGATCACTCTCAGCACATATTTTATCCCACGCTCCATTTTGAGTATTCAGTTCTTTCTAACAAAAGAAAAAACATTTAAATAAATGTTCTATTAATTGCATTTACATTCATGATTTTAAGACAGGACTGCATTATTTCTTGCCAAAAACAACTGTGAGAGAAGACATTCTGAAGACAACAACCTGTTGTATGCCTAATTGTTCTCCATGTTCATTCTAATATATTAGAAACCCTATACATTACAGGCTTCTTGCTTCAGACAATCTCTAGTTTACTGACAGTGGCAGGAGCCTTACCTTCCTTCAGGTGATTAAGATCATAAGCCAACACCTGAAGTGTGTCTTATGTATTCCCAATCTGTGTGCCAAGAAAATGAGACTATAGAAAGAGATCATTTCTGTTTTCTGTCAGAGAATCAATGGGCACAGAATGCTTAACCCTTTCTTAATGTAGAGCAAATGTCTTAGTATCATATAACAAATGCTTCCCCAGAAAGTAAATCACTCCAAGCAAAAGACAGTTTTCCTTTGTTTTCTTTAGACAGCAAAAATGCCAGTGGGAGTCCTTCAAGAATGCACACTGTTAATGTCTCCCTCCCTGACTTTGAAAGAGCCAAGGGCATGAAAGCCACAAGTTCTACCAAAGAACGTTCCCTGCAAAATTGTTCATGCTCTAGTGCCAAGTCTATATCCTAATCTCTCCATTCTCCAGACTTTTACACAAGATAATCAGGAGACAAAGAAGGATTAATTCAGACCATTTTTTCCAACTCTTTCCCATATACATACATTGTCCCCACACTGACATTTAAGAAAAAACTGTTTGCATCACAAAGTGCAGTTTTACCTTTAATTTACACTGCATTTATTTAAAAAGTTGGGGGACAGGGAGAGAGAGCAGAATATTTGGTTCCTGTTTTAATTTTAGGCTGCACTTCCTAGTTCCTATTCAAAAGGAAAACACACATATACAAGATGGCTGGCTGCTTACTGCTCATCACTTAAAGCTTAGGAAATAGAAAATATCAACTGCTCCTAACCAGGGACACTCTTTTTATGTTTACTTAATATACACATCACTGACAATATTACAAAATGAAATACCTGCCACATTTCTACTTTAGACTTCACTTCTTCTGCTTCCATAAATTCATTCAGACCTGCCAGAGCTTTGGCTGCCAAAATTCTTCGTGCTTCTTGAGTTAATTCTGATTGCACAATGATATGAGGGATTGTTTCCGAAAGATCATAGATCTCATTTTCTGCTTTAGAAGAGTCTGAATCTTCAGATATTCGTCTACCATAAATGTCCTTTTTCACAAAATTATAGTTCAATGCTTTTAGTTCCTCATCTTCATCTTCCTCCTCCTCCTCGTCCTCTTTTTCTTTCTGATGACATGCAAGGCCTGAAGAAATGGTTTTACTACGCAGTACTCTTTTTGTATGTCTAGATCTATGGCAGGCAGAAGAGTCATCTTCATTTTTTCCTGGATTAAATTTTCCCTGAGTTGAGAAAGTAAATGTGTTACGAATTAAGACTTCTTGGTTTAGCTCAATGTGAAGACCCTGGCAGTGGTCCTCCTTGCTTGGCGGGTTAGATTTGTTGCAGAGTGGCACTTGTACAGGCACTGACCATAGAGTTTCTCCTTGCTCAGCGATAAATGCAGCTTTTCTTAAATCTGATTCACTATAGCTAAGGCGCCTTTTGGAACGGCTAAGAGACAAAAAGTAATCAGCTGTCCTCGATTTGCAAAGAGGATCACAATCGTGTTCCCTGGGATGAAGAGGATTTGACCCTGAGAGAGAGAATGGCTCTGAAGTACTACTGTCTTGTCTTGTCAACTCCTTATCAAGTTCCGTAGAAGCTAACTGAGAAACAGTCTCCTCAATTTCAGCTGACAGGTCTGGTATATCTATTAATTCTTCCTCTATTACCTGCCGGTTTTCAACCAAATCCAAGAGCAATTTGCAAACAAGATGGATAAGTTTTGGCACATGCTTGAGATTTCTGCTTTCATATCCATGCAACAAATGCCGCTGCCTGATCAAGTACTGGGAAAGAGTCACTGCATGTGCTTTGGGCTCACAGGTGGCAAAAACATTTCTGAGTGGAATTAAGAACTGTGAAAACTCCCTTACACATAACAACTGTCCTCTAGTCTGAATAGAATTAGGCCTTTTTGCTCTTACAAAAAGGATTGCTTGGTCTGCCGTCATTCTTGTTGCAAAAACCAAGTAACAAGCTATTAAGACACCTGGAAAGTGACACATAAAAATAGATTAATCACCAAGTTCAGGTAAAGTCTAAAATAAAACAACAATAAACTCAGACAACAACACATGGATGCTCTTACATCACAGCAGACATCTATCAGTATATAAATTCCCATCAATTGTAAAACTTAAATTACACACTTTCTCTCTGTATTTCTCTTTCTCTAAGTGTGGGTTTGTGTATACTGGCTATACACATACACACACACCTACTTAAAATACTTTTAAAATTAAACACGAACCTTATATATACAAACATTATATATTGAAACTTATACATTAAACCAGCTGATTTTATGAACAAATTGCACACAAAATCAGAGATCACAGATGGGAAAAGAGTTTTAAAGCATAGAATTTTATTTGCTGAGAAAACAAGGTCAAAGAAGGCTACATTACGCTTTCCTGCAAATGTTTTCTCTGCTTTAGAAGTGGAGGTAAGAAAATTCTTAAAAATAAATAGCCAAACAAGTATTTCCAAATGGTAGGTATCCAGATAGAGAGAGAGAGAAGGCATTCATAGTTTACATTTCTATTTAAGGGCATTAAAGAATTCCTATTCCTTTGAATAATAGTTTTGAAATAACTAAATTCTGTATTCCAAAGTTCTGTTTTCTTTTGAAATACAGTTGAAAACTAAGATTTCTTTAAATTTGTATAGATGCTCTGATAATTAATTCTCAATTTCTTCTTTAAACTCAAAAAGCACTTTAGAGGCATGGGCCACTTTCAAAGAAAAATTCCAAGAAATGCCAGCAAGCAAATATAGGTAATCCACAATTGAGCCCAAAATTTCCATTGCTAAGCAAGACAGTTAAGTGAGTTTTGCCTCATTTTATAACCTTTCTTGCCACAGTTGTTAAATGAATATTTGCAATTGTTAAGTTATAACATGGTTGTTAAGTGAATCTGGTTCCCCGTGTGCTTGTCAGAAGGTCGGCAAAGGTGACCATATGATCCTGGAACACTGCAACCATCATAAACACATGCTAGTTGCCAAGTATCTGAATTTTGATCACATGACCATGGGGATGCTGCAATGGTCGTGTGAAAAATGGTCATAAGTCAATTTTCAGTGCCATCATAACTTTAAACAGTGACTAAATAAATAGTTGTAAGTTGAGGACTACCTGTAGTTTGCGCAGACTTTGCAATGCATACCGTACAAAGCTGAATTTTAGAAAAAAACGTTTTAATTAAACTAGTTGTTTCATATTTGTACCTGTTCTGCCAAGTCCCGCATGACAATGAATAGCTACTCGCCCTTCCTGTAAGGCAAAAGTCATCACTTTGACCATATCGAGGATAGTAGTGAGAGAAGCTACACCATAGTCCTTCCATCCAAAGTTATAAAAATAAACTAGAAAAAATATTTAGAACATTATAATTAGAAGACCAAACAGTGCACCCACAAATATATCCTAATGACATTCCTAAGATCTGCAGTAGAAGAGAATGGATTATGTTTCCATATTGTGGAATGTTTTTTATTTAAATTTAAATTTTCCAATCTTACACTCCAAATTCAGCAGGATTTTTCCTTTAGAAACTGGTTTATACAATGACGGGGGAATGTATTAGTCTCTCTCTGTGTACAGTATGTATGTACATGCACTTAGATAGTATATAAAAATACACGCTCAGTATTCCTAAATTAATTACATCCTTTTCAAAATAGTCAAACACAGCTATTTGTTTGGACAGTGTGGAAAACTCTTTTTGTGAAAGAGATGCTAATTAAGTAGATATATATGTATCTGTAACACATACACACAATTACTGCTAGTGAATATATGCCTATTGTCCTGTGTAATCTGTGTTAATGTTTTGGTGAATAATTGCTAGTACTGTTACAGATATTGCCAGGTGCAACTTTCATAATTTAGCTATCAGTTCCATGGATGCTTTAGTCATTTATGATAGCCGCCCTCTCTTTTTCTACATCCTCATTAGTTGTATGTTATTGTATGTTATTTTTTCGTCAATAAACATTCCTCAACTCGCTGCTTTTAACCTTAGAAGTAGGTGGTAGAAACAGCCTGCAAGCAACGCACTTTATAATTAACCAGGAACAGCAGCAGCAGGAGCAAACTTACTTCCCGCCTCCATGAAGGCTTCAGGAAGATAGGTGAAACCACTCTCTTGTTCCAGTGGATTCCCACAGCTAGCATGTTCCCCGGGACGCTGGAGGTTAATTACTGTTTTTATATCACATCTTAAGCAAAGAAAAAGATGATGCATTATTGACGATGCGTCTTCAGAGTCTTTTCCACCAGCATCCCATGTTATTATTATTTCAGAATAAATTGCTACAAATGATCTGAGAAATGCAGGGAAGGGGGGGAGGTGGGGAAGATGAGCTTCAGTCTCATAAGAACTTTAGTAATTTGTTACCAATTTCTTTTACCTTTGGAACTGTTCAATAATATTATATTTTCCAATAAGATCTGTGGAGGGTCGAGACATAGCCAGTATGTTATCTGTTACCCTGAAGAGATGATGGAAGAAGACATAAAAAATAGGAGTAAAAGTATGTCTCAGGCATCTCTCATGTTTAATTATTTTAGCAAATTAATCATAATGTTTTATATGCTGTGCTTTCAAATGGTGAAATGCTTTTGATCTTTGTTTAATAAAATACTTATATAACAGAGTGCTAATAAGATGTCAAGATATGGTGATAATAAAAACACAGCTAACACCGTGTATCTATGGTTTATCTATGTATATAACATTTTTTTCTTCAGAGTGATCTTTTAAAAAGTTTAAAAAACGATCCCACACATCTTGACAATGCTTTCATTATATTCAGTTGGTTTTTTTTAATTTAACATTTCAGTTCAATTACATGATTAATACATTTGAATCTTAGTTACATTTAAGTCTGTAATAAAGATATCCATAATGAAATCCATGTTTCAGATGAAAACATATTGGATTAAGTTGAATTTAGTTTCTGTTAACATCAGTAGAATGCATTCTGTATGATTAATGCCTAGATGAAAACAATTGACCTTTGTTTGAATCCAACCAACAGTTTTAGCATATAAATGTTTCAAGCATTAAGCTCATGGACACACATTTCTGAAACACTTCTTGCCTAAATCTTTATCAAACTGTTTTCTTTCACTGAATGTATAATCTAATACTAAGCATATTTTTTTGAAATCAGTTCAACAGAGTTACGAACTGCTTTATAAGATATTTAAAAGTAACATTTTTGGAAACGTATCATGAATGAATGCTGTATATTACCAGGAGGAATATAATCCTTTAACAGCCTGTTCTTGTTCACTCCACCGAGCTGGGTTTTCATATTTGCAAGCACGGCCACCACACGCCATAGAACACTGCATATGACCAGGAATAACATGACGAAGGCGTTCTCCAACTTTTGTATATTTTGCAGTTGGACGTCTAGATCTTCCTGTAATCCAATGGCAAGACAAAATAAAACTTTCCAACAAAAATCAATTCTGAAAAACAAAGATAAAAAGGTAAACTAAATCCCCCCCCCCAAAAAAACATTTGCAAAGAAATAAGACTTTTCTTTCTTAATGTCTGTATATGTAATATTTCCTTAATAGGGGAAGGATCATCTCATGATCTAGAAACATTTAATAACAGCTGTTATCTTTGTTCACATTATAAACAAACTCATAAAAACAGTAAGCTTAAAAGTGATACAGTACTATTTTATTAATTAAGTGATGTGATCAACTTAAAATGCTTAGTTATTAAAGAAGATCAGAATTAATATATTAGAATGATAAAAATGCCAATACTTTACTTCTTCTTTCATGGAAAGCAGCATTTAGCTCTTCAGGGCTTACAGAGGAAATAGCCACCATAACCCTGTGTGTAGAAGTTGAGAGAACCTCTACAACTGAGCTCCGTCGCCTCTGAAGCACTCGGAGGAGAGGATCAGAAGAAGAATGTCTCCGGCCCTGAAAAAACTTGCTAAAAATATTCACTGCCAAGCGCCTCCTGGGTGACCCTTGCATGATCACCCACTATTTGCGGCAGTTAAGATATGCTAGAGGATGAAGCTGAATGAGAAAGCTCACTTGCTCAGTACTGAACTTATACAGAGGCACGCATCTTTCTGTAAGATCTAACAGCCATTCAGAATAGGCTGCTGTCTCCATAGAAACTAACAATGAACTCACTGATGGCAGCTACGCCTTTTGGCAACCAAATTCTATATACGTTGATTTTTTATTTTTTTGCAGAACAAATTTTTCTACTACGAGGATTAGAATCGCTCGAAGCAGGTAATTCTGAAATGGATCAGAAATTCTGAAATTATTTCCTATGAACAGAAATGAATCCCGGAACTTGAAGAACTGAATTTAGCATCACAAGGTATAGTCTATTCTTCAGAAAACCCTTAGAACTTGGCATCCTTCAAGTAATCTTAAATTAATAAAGATGTAAATATAGGCAAAAGCAACTTAGTTATGACTGTAAAATGAAAAGCAGAAACATTTATAACTGAACAAACTTTTCTCCTTCCCAAATTGTGTCATCTCATTTTGTAAGCAAAGCAATTCTCATACATCTTGCTTTTAGCACTAGCATTAAGAGTTTACAAAGACAGAGTAAGGTTTGAAAGACTATCCAGTCTATTATTCACATACATTTAATCAGCAGTAATAAAATGTAATACACAAGCAATATTATTGCTTATCTTATGAGATACATAAGAGAATAAATTATTGCTGGTTGATGGAGCACCAAACTAAACAAAGTAATTCTGTCAATATCTGGAAGCACTTAATACCAAAAAGAATTCCTAGCTTTTGTTTCTAGGTTACATAGACCACCATGCAAAAAAACTTACAACTAAAATGCGCTGTTTAAAATTATACACTTCATGGAATAATAGTCCTATGATTTTACTTCAATTTCTGTCTATATTCTTCTGAAGAAACTGATGTTTTAAGTATAACTCAATGACAAATATTACATACTACCCAAGTTTTAAAATGTGAAACTATATCACAGCTTTTTCTAGAAATGTAGTCACACCGTCAACCAGAAATTGAGCGTTGATTTTTTTCTTTATCTAAAACCTGGTCCATAAGTTAAACAGTACCCTAAATAAGGTACTCCTGTCAGAGCATCAATGTGGAGGAAACTGTTAAGAATCAGAACGAATATTCTGAAATTCAATCTTTACAAGGTCCTCCATATACAACATTTCAACATTTTTAAAGTAACGAACTAGGTAAGTAAGACTTTAGGTCTATCAGATATTATATCTGCCCCACCTACCAACTGCAATGAATCTACTCGATAAGCACATTTAATGCATTTAGGTACAAAATATTAAGGGATGGAAAGTTGTGATTCGCCTTTATAGACAAGGATTTTAAAGGTTCAGAATTTTTGGGATGTTAATTCACAAATGTCTATGTCTATGATGGCAAACCTATGACACACATGGCACGAGCCATCGCCCTTGCTCTTCCGGGTTCTGGCGCGCCGGTCAGCTGGTCTTCATAAGCACAGGAGCGCCGGAAACCAGAAGAGCAGCTGCCTGGTGCTCATGCGCATACCTGGAAGATGATCTTTCTGTTTCAGGCGCACGCATGCGCACTGGCCACCTGGTCTTCCAGTTTGTCACGCATGCACATGCGAAGACCAGATGGCCAGGGCACATGCGTGTGCCAGAAACCAGAAGATCATCTTCCTGGTGTGTGCATGCACACCGGGCGGGTGCTCTTCTGGTTTCTGGCACTCCCACGTGCATGAAGCCCAGCTGGCCAGCATGCCGGAACCCAGAAGAACAACGGGAAATGGCTCACATGCCCAGAGAGATGGCCATTTCCGGCACATGTGCCATAGGTTTGCCATCACAGACCAGTGGTCTTCGTGCACGCATTCCTTCCAGAAACCGGAAGACCAGGTGGCCGGTGCACATGTGTGTGCCGGAAACTGGAAGAACATCTTCCCGGAGCGCGCATGCATACCGGGCAGTTGCTAATCTGGTTTCTGGTACGCACTCTCCCATTTCAGCACTCAGTGCCGAAAAGGTTCTCCAACACTGGTCTATGTTGAACAGGCATTATGGAACCGCTGTGTTAGAATCATGGCATTATTCACAATTGTAGTGGCAGAACTGGGTTGAACTCATAGGGTAAAAATCTCAAAGCTCCCTTTGTAGGACTCCTTGGGTTCTGCATGCTCTATTTCTGCCTCCTGACTTAGTGAAGTGGTTTGGTAGTTCTCACCTCCACTATCTATCTCCTTGGTGAGTGGGCAGGTACTTTTTCCTGTCATCCTCCCTCCCAATCCTGCAGTGTAAGACACAAAGGACTCACAAAGCATCTATATAAGTAAATGACAAAAATGAAGTCAAAAGGAAAAAAGGAAAAATAAATTCTATAGTACTGCCTCCTAGCCTTATTCACTGAAACATATGGCAAAGGAAATTAGCCTACTCCTTTAGGAGACAAATCAATCTCTCAAGGTATAAATAGAATCAAGCTTTATTTTTTTAAAAAAGTAAAATGTAAATGTAAAAAATCCCTTCTTGGGTTTCAGCAGTCATGTAAAATATTCAGTGGCAAAATAGATAAAAATATACCATAGAGTTGTTCTAATTGTAGACTGCAGCTTAAAAGGACTTTCCATAGAAAACTATAAAATGCAATAGAAGACTCGGGGCAGATACAGGATAACTTTGGTTTGCTCCTAATTTATAGGGACTCTGCTACGAAGAGGATCCAAATTGTATAAGAGCACAAGTTATTGAGGGTGTACAGAAAACATAAATATCAGAGGCAGTAATGCTTAAAGAATAACTTAAGTGCATTAGACATACTGTAACACAACAGTTACATTATTTCTTATTCCTCTAAAAAATAGACTAGCCTGGAATCAGATTGCCACTTAAACATTACAGACACTATTTGGAGTTTTTACATCAGACAACAAAATGTCTTGGATCAGATATTAACATAATGTTTGTAATGCTCCATAAATAAGCAGTTCACATCAAAAGCTACAGAACCTATTAGTTCATGTTAGTATGAATCAAAATTATTAAAAATATTGAGATAAGGACCAGATCAGCTAAGTCATAAATCTTGTAACCCTTTCGAGTCTATGACACCACCATGCTAACCTGGCAATTTTTATAGTGCCATATGACTTTGTTATTAATACCACTTATAAATTCACATCTTCACTCCCATTTCATTTTGTTTCATTTAGTATTTGTAATGAATACAATATGACTTTCAGCTGGCAAAAATGTTATTCATATTATGCATCAAACCTATTAATTTAATCCATAACCAAAAATAAAAGGTGTCGTTTTCACGCATACAATAACATTCCACAAAATTACCAAGTGTGAGTTAGGTAATAATTTTAATGAGATGGCAATTACTGGTAATTTTTTCTGGAAAGAATATGAAGCAATAAACCTAAACAAGCAGAATAATTTATTAATCTTTTTGAGACAAGTTGCATTTAGATGTTATCTTCCTGAATATCTACAGAATATGTTCATGCAATATATTTTTTTATTTGCATAATGTTCAATTTAACATTCTTAATTATGCAAAGAAGGAATGTATTGCATGAAATAAATAATAAACCTGAAATTGCTACTATATTTGGACTAGCAAAAAAACAAATTTGGTTTAAATGAATTTTAAAATCATGATTATTTTGTTAAACTAATCTTGAGACAAGAGAACACGTATAAGTGCAGATTATCCTTAGTTCTCCAATTTAATTTTTAGCTGTCATAGGAAATTTGTATGAACACAAAGAGATTATATTACTTGTAAAAATGTTCAATGATCTTAAAAGCTTCTGCCAAAGAGATGAATCAGAATTACAAATCGTAACAATGAATATTTGTTCTCCTCCGTTGTCATTATTAACCTTTTAATACATAGAATTATTTCACTATTCCTTCTGACGCAGTTGCTCATTTTCCAACCTGATATCAAGGTTGAAAATATATAAAGCAAAAAAACAACAAGCTAAATAGCTAAGAAATTTATTAGGAAAACTGTCATGTTATCACATTGGGTTTTGTTTTTGTTTTTGTTAAAATCTACAGTAAAATGTTTTTTAAGTATCAATAAAAATAAACATTTGTGTTGCAATAAGTGAAGAAAATTTTTGCTTTCTCACATATTACTCAAATAATAACTTTTTAATACTCAGAAAACAGACTGATTAAGTAAGTTGAACAGAACATTGTGAAATTGGGAGAAGTGAAAGATATGCACATGAGATATTTGCCAAACAGTTGATAACATTCAAATTGGGTAAGAAAGTTGTAAAATTATGGCCATTCCCTACTCCATTTCCATTGTCAAGTTTGGATCATCTACAAGAGCTGTGGTCCTTCAGTTGTCCTTTGTTTTACCCAATGAAGGAAGGCATGAGGCAGTTTAACCAGTTTCGTTTAGGGCAAATTAGTGAGACCTAGCTCCCTGTCTTGTCCACATAAACAGTTTTATCCATGCAAGACAAAGCAGAGAGCCAGTACGCCGGGCTTCATTCAGCATGAATACTGGCAGCCTACATATAATGAAACAGTTTATTCATCTTGTAGGGAATTTTTTTTTCAGGAAGAGGAAAAATAGGAATTATGATTTGCAATACCTTCATAGAAAACTGAAGGTAAAAAATGACAGGAGTTGTATTATATAAGCTGTTATATGCTTAGAAATAATACTTCCACTATAGACTTGTCACTTGACTCCTTTACTTTCCTCCACTGAATCCTAAAACAAAAGTGAAAGGTTGTAGCAATTTTGGCACAGATTAGTAGTGACCAATTATTCATAAAATCTGTTCATGTTTTTTATTTGATTCTTTACCTGAATCCTATTTCAACTGATGGAACTATAAAATCTACTTGAAACAATCTGCTTCAGCTCTGCATTCAGAGTTTAGATAAATTAAATAGCTCATCCCTATTATTATCCAGTACTGGTCCTATCCACTAAATGTCATCTACTAAAAAAGTAATTACCTGTATTCATGGTTGTGCTGCTGATTATCAGAGAACAGTAAGGTGCCTCATTTTGCAATAAGACTCCAGCAGCCATTGCAGTACCTGTAGGAACAAAATTTTAACAATAAGCATGTGTTTTTCTATGAATGTGCATGTCTGTGTCAGCCCTACAGATCAGATTCAACTGATCTGGATTTTCAGTCAAATATATTTAAGCAGCTTGTAAGTGTTTTAACTGCTGACATGCCTTTTCTTTAGAGTTTAGTGTTAAAAATGTTACACTATCTATATTACTAAATAACATGAAAGCCTTGATTGACCAATGGGATATAAGAAAAATAAATGGTAAATAAGATTAACAAATAAAATAAAATTAACAGAATTGTATGAGAATTCTGAGAAAGAGAAAGAATGCAATAGATCCAATTGAAGGAAGTCTCATCTTGTGGAATGGTGTTGATGGACATGTATACGCCAGGAAATGAAGGTATAGCTTTAATTATGAATGAAAGAATAAAATTAAAGTTTGAAAAAAATAAAAGAAAGAATCCAGTGATAGTTACATTTATAGTGAAAATGATGATAATGTAAGAGCTAAAGATGAGTTCTGGAATAAATTGTAATGCTTTGATAAATCTAATTCAGAGAAAACTATTATTCTGCTAGAAGATATGAACGCAGTACTAAAAAAATATGTGCATTAAAACAAGGAGAGAAAGGGTCAAGAATGAATGGATTCTGAATGAATAGGAAGTGAATACAAAAATGGGCTTCCAGGGGAAGAAAAGAAAACCGAAAACCCCTCTGTAAAAGTGGACCACAAGAAAGAATGAAGAACAGGTGAGCAAACCAGCTCTTTGGAATCTCTCCAGACAAGGAGAAGATGGGAAAAAAACCACCTGTGTTCTGGATGCAAATCATAATCATGTGACTATGGGTTTTGCAACCATTGTAAATGCAAGCCAGTTACCAAGCACCCAAATGGCGATCACATGATCATGGAACTTCCTAAACTGGTTGTAACCACCACCTGTTCAGCACTGTCGTAACTTTGAATGTTTACTGAAAAAACAGCATTAATGCAGATAATGACTATCTGTACTTCTAAGCTATTAGAAACTTTCAGAACAATAAGTTTGAAAATGCTGGGTGAGTTCAATCTTGAACAACAAATTACTTATTTTTATCTCAACTTTGTTATTTTTATAAATAACTCAAAGCACCAAATACACATAATACACCTTCCTCCTCATTTTCCCCACAACAATTCAGTGAGGAGAATTGTGCTGAGAAGCCCAAAGCTATACAGATGGCCTTCGTGCCTAAGGCAGGACTGGAGCTCATAGACTCTAGATCAGTGTTTCCCAAAGTGTGGTACGCGTACCCACAGGGATACGGGAAGAGTTTGGTGGGGGTACGCGTTGCACCGGAGTTTGGTGGGGATCACGTGGGAATATCCACTGCATATTAAAGCATATGTTTTTTATGAGGGGTACTCAGCGTTACGAAAATTATAGAAGGGGTACACATATGTCAAAAGTTTGGGAAACACTGCTCTAGATCATAAACCAAACTAACTTGCTTACTTCAGGCAACCCTTTATGGACTTCCTGCTGATATGAGGGCAGAAAATATGTTCTATGTATTTGTTTATATCAGAGATGAAATATGAAATTTAAAAAAATAACTGTCTGTAACCTTTGAGGGGGTGGAGAGTTACTATATATTTGTTTAGTGAAAGTTGGAAGTCACTTCCTTATTTTTCTTTCACTTTTTATTCATTCTCCTCTTTTCTCTCTTCTTTTAGTTTGTATTCAGTGTTACTTTAATAATCAAAATTGACACACAGACACAGAGTCATTACTGAATGAATGAGATTTGAATTGTAAAACAAATATATGAAAGAAAAGTCAGTGAATCAGAAGAAATCATGATTGAACCGAGTTGAAGATACTTTAGTCTAAGAGAAGTGAGCATTTTAAAGAATAAAAGCAATATATGAAGCAGTGTATGAATATGGAAACAGTGAGAAGGCTGGTTTACAAGGATAGAAAGGCATACAGAAACATAGTGAATAATGTTATAGTGAATAATAAAAGGAAAAAGAATAGTATTTTTTATATACTTTCATTTTCCTGCAGAACAAGGAACCCACAGTAGGGGAGAAGAAAAAAACCCTGGTATGTCTCAATTTCTTTAAATAATAGATGTAACTGTGCTAATTCTTTACCTGCTCCCAGATTTAGATGCAACACCTATAATTTCACCAAAGTCACTCATATATTGCAGTTTTTAATGTGACAGAGAATGGAAATCATTAAATGCACAAAAAGCAATCATATTAATTGTACTTTTCAGCAACTGTACCAGTCAAGAATCACATCTGTACTTTAGTCTATAAATACAGTTCAAGACTTATTTAAATAATATATTTACCAGGGTGGATAAAAATCAATGATTTTTTTTTTTTTAAATCAGATTTTTTTGATTTAAATCGGATTTTTTTTATTTTTATCGAATTTATTTTAATAAAAAACTTTTGGGGTAAAAATCTATCGTAAGATAGTTTTCTATTTAAGATACATAAATAATTTAGTTTATTCAGCATGAAATGGAGCTTAGTTATGTAGCATGAGGCTGTATATTCTGCAACACTGGGACTATCAGTGAGTCAACAGTGGGTGAAAGGAGTAGCAGAGATGACAGTTGCTTTTTAAAAATTATGATTTAAATCGAGTTGATTTAAATCAAGCCTTTTTACTAGCGATTTAAATCATGATTTAAATTGTGATTTAAATCAACTCAATTTAAATCAAATCCACCCTGATATTTACAGAATTGATCTGTTTCTTTAAAACACATTTCTTCTTTGGATTATAGAACATAATAAAGAAATCCAAGATTTTAGTATATCTTTTGATTTTCTCAAACATGAAATTAGATGTAAAGATTCTTTGGCATCCTATATGAACCTGGAAGCTCTAATTCAAATAAGAAATGCCTACAAGATTATTTCAGTTCAGGTTCAGGTCCACATTAGACTGTTTCAATCTGTCTTTTAATTAAAAATATTTCATTTCAAAATGTGTCTACATACCAAAAAAATCATTTCATTATATGGGTACCACCAGCTTTTTTTTTAACTTCCTAGGTTTTATGTTGTCATGAATACTAGTTAAGTTTCATTTCTTCTGGATGTATTTAATCCAATTTTAAATCCATACATTTTATTTGGCAAATTCTATAAACTAATTATGTGTTAAGTAAAAACTAGACAGTTTTGCTTGGCTTGAATTTATAGCTATTTGGTTTGTTTGTTTCTTTGATTAGTACATTTCATCATTTGAGGAAAGGAGATTTTTCTGTTCCTTTTTTCCATCTAGAGCACCATTTCATTGAGTTCATTGTAATGTTAGAGTGCTGTAATAGTCTTTATTGTTATATTAGCTTTTAACTGAAGCAAGTGCTATCAATTCATATAGATATAGTTCTTAATAAAACGATTTATCTAAGCCAAAGGAGCTTGAGGCTTTTATGAATTTATGCATCTAAATTAAATTGGGGTAGGCAATAGTAGTTCATGGTGGTCCTTTTCTTATTTTTTTTAAGGCATTTACTTCAAATTCCAGAGTGGGTTTTCTCTCTTTAACTCTGTTTTAGTACTGATGAGGTCTCCAATTGACTGAATGCACGACATTCAGTTTATATAGTGTAAAGTATTACAAAACATCAATAAATTGCTAATGGATTGATTCAAAGGGTACCAAGCTAGAACAAGCATTGGAACTGAAACCTCACTATTCATGTAATATTCAATAAACCAACTTCAATATGTATTTTGATTGCCAGTGTAACTTTTAATAAAGTGATATTTTATGTTTGCTCTCTAATGTGATCATTAGTTCTTTACTGTATAATAGTAGCTTTATATATTTTATGTGGAAAGAAAGAATATATATTTATATTCTTACTTCTTCGTAGGATTTATGTGTGTTTTTCCTCTAGCCAGGTTTTTCCTACGTAACCAAGGTTTTTCTGCAGCCCTAGCTCAGTAGAATCACATCCACTCGATTCTGGGCTTTTTTCTTTTCTGGCAACTAGCAAGTTCCAGTTGCCAGGTGAGAGACTTATATAGATCTATTTCCAGCTCGTTTGCTTTCATCAGTAAGCCACACCCACATCTTATGTATCCTCCCGGTAAAGGTATAGTATCTATTTTCTTACTTCTTCGTAGGATTTATGTGTGTTTTTCCTCTAGTCAGGTTTTTCCTACATAACCAAGGTTTTTCTGCAGCCCTAGCTCAGTAGAATCACATCCACTCGATTCTGGGCTTTTTTCTTTTCTGGCAGCCAGCAAGTTCCAGTTGCCAGGTGAGAGACTTATATAGATCTATACCTTTACCGGGAGAAAATAGATACTATACCTTTACTGGGAGGATACATAAGATATGGGTGTGGCGATAGACATCACGATCTCCGGAACGTTTAAAAGTTTAGATTTTTTTATTTTAAATTTTTTTATCTCAAATCACCACTTTCCAGGCTTTATCAGACATTTTGTGTTGTCTGCTGTGAGATTTAAGGGAGACTAAGATAGATCTATTTCGGCCTTATAAGGCCTCTTTATCACTGTCATAATACTAGTAGTTGCTAAATAAGGTCTACTTGTAGCTTTCAAGTTTGAGTTCTACATTCTTTAAAAAAGACTAAGTACAGGCCAAAATGTTATACTGGACATTATTAAAATTTCAAAATATATTCTGGAATATTCTAGATGGCTTTACATATGAATTATAAACAAATTAATTAGAGATTGGTAATATTTCTAGTTGAAGAAGGTTGCATTCGATAATGCAAAGTAGTTAGGGTATTCAGGAGTTACATGATAGTTTTTACTTCTCTTATGTTGATGAGGAACCCACTCATTAATTTTTGGCGAGGGTGAGCTGCATGCATTCTTAACAAAGATAACCATGCCATTCATAATTTAGTCAGTTTCTTACTTTGTATGGAATACTGAACTGTATACCAATCCAATTCCCACTTAATTTTCCAGAGAACAGAGAAGGCCTTTATGCTAATAAAATGTGAAAAATGTTACA